CTATTTTACCTGATAATGATTTTTAAAGGGATTTAAGAAAGAAAGATTATTTAACCTTCATGTATATTTTTAATATTTTTCTCATAAAACTTCTTCTGATGACAGGGTTTCTTTGTATTCTTCCAGCATTAAAACAAAAATGCCTTAAAAACATCTGCACATCGGTCTAGAACACTGAGGAATTTTACTGCAAATCGGAAGATTCGTGGAAGGTTTAGTTGTCTCTTTCATTCCACAGTGTAAAAATCAGGATGCAACACGTTTGCAAATATTTGTAACAAGATGAGCTATTAACCAGATGTTAACATAGAAATGTGTCTTCCTCCATGGCTTTGTAAAAATAATGTGTAAAAACAGATGTATTTTATACAAATGATGTAATTACAGTAAAAACATTGAAATAATTTTAAGAATTGTATTTTATAAAAGGTATTTATATGTTTGGCTAGCAAATGCAAATAGTTTATTCCAGTTTTATTTACAATTAAGATAAAGTAATCAAAATGAACACGCACAAAATAAGTCAAAAGCAACCTGAAATGCTGAAGCCGAAAAGGATTCTTCCCGATGTTAAATGCCCACAGATTATTCATAATTCCAAATGAATAGTCTCCCATTACTTCAGCAACTCATATAAGTGCAGAGCTCAACCAAGGAAATGTTGATGCCTCATGCACTCTCACTCTGTGATATATTTGTGTGAGCTCACCAGGATTCATCTCCTTCCTTATACACACCTCTGGTGAACTAAAAGCCAGATCTAAAGAAAGGAAACAATAACCAAGGAAATTGCACGACTCTATATTTGCTATGCTGCAAAAATTGGATGCTATTATCAACCCAATGCACATCATCAAGCCATTAATATTTTTTTTAAAAGATTGTTTGCACTACAGCTGGTGCACGTTGATGTGTTCAAAGCATTATAAAGCCAAAGAGTATGGTGGCTCCAAAAGGAATTCTGCCTCCAGGGAGATGTGGGACACAGCAGCCCTTCTCCAAAAGATGTTCCACTGCTGTGCCCCATCACGTGATGGAAGCATTCCTGTCATATCAAAGAGCAGGACAGACTGGAGTAGGAGCAGTTACAGCTGATATTGAGAGTTAAACCAATGGAAGAAACAGGAATGTTGATACAGTGAATGTATAATCTGGGAACATTATCTTGGAATGTTGTGGGGAGATCTTGCTCCATAGCACTCCTCCTCACCAAAGGCAGGAGCTGCACCTTTATGCTTTGAATTCTCAAAAAAATGTCTTAGAGCCTGAAGATACAATTTTAAAAAAAAATCTATATTGTTCCTACATTTTTGTCATTAAATTTTCTGAGAACTCGGGAAGGACATGAAAACAAGAACATAAGGAGAGAAAACAATGATAAAATCAGTTTGACTTACTGTGTATTCTTGAATAAAAAGACAATATCAAAAGAAAAATACTTTTGGAAAGGGCTTCCTTTTCAGGAGATTGTCCTACGACTGTTTTAATGAACTTAATCAGCTCTGATGCAGCACTCATCTCGGTGTTAAAGGACACTTCTGTGTTTATAAGAAATCATTTTCTGGCACTGGGCATGGGTCTCAGCCTCAAGTTGCACCAAGAGAGGTTTAGATTAGATATAGGAAAAATTTCTTTACTGAAAGAGTGGTGAAGCATTGGAGCTGCCCAGGGAAGTGGTGGGGTCATGATCGCTGCAAGTGTTCAAAAAACATGTAGATGTGGCACTTCGGAACATGGTTTAGTGGTCATGATAATGTTGGGTAGACAGTTGGATCAGATGATCTTAGAGGTCTTTTCCAACCTTAATGCTTCTATGATTCTATGATCTCCACTCTAAGGCCTTGGAAAGGGCTGAAAGGGCTGAAAGCCACTGCCCAAGCCTGTTCATGGGGAAAGAATTAGAAGCTATCACATAGGTATAGGTGTCTCATGAGAAGAGCTGAGAAAGGATTAATGGCACTTGTTCTGAATGACAACCTTCTTGTCACAGTTGTTTAAGGCTTACTGCTTGGCCTTCCCAGGAGAATAATGAAAATTAATTAGAAAAACTACAGAATAAGAGAAGGAATGAAAAAGCAAGGCTCTGTGGGAAAAAAAACCCACAAGTGAACATGTTGTCCTCCTTCAAAGGAAAAAAAGTTTTTCCGTGTTCCAGGGGTTTCAGTCCTGCAAAGCCTCTGTGTTGGCAGAAGTAGAGAAATGATGGTGGCCTATGGGCAAATCATCATCTCAGAGGACTCAATTTTATTATTATGCTCAGTCAAGCTCACTCTGACTTGTCAGGGTGAAAAAAGCGCTTTGGGCAATACCTGGAGACTAACTAGAAGCACTAAAACTGACATGAAAATGATTTTTTTGTATCATTAAGGCAGATTTTCTGACATTTTTCACTCTTCTATAAATTTCCATGATAGGGTAGATCACAGAAATGGTATGGCTGGACCCTATCCTTTTCCAGGCAATATGTCAGTACTGAATCAATAATCACAGAATCACAGAATCACAGAATCACAGAATCACAGAATCACAGAATCACAGAATCACAGAATCACAGAATGGGTGAGGTTGGAAGAGACCTCAGGAGGTCATCTGGTCCAACCCACCCTGCCAAAGCCAGGCCACCTAGAGCCAATTGCCCAGGACCATGTCCAGATGGCTTTGGAATATCACCAAAGGAAGAGAATGAGGGAGACTCCACAACCACCCCAGGCAACGTGTGCTAGTGCTCAGCTACCCTCAGAGTAAAAAAAAAAAAAAGTTTCCTGTTGTTCAGAGGCAACCTCCTGTGTTTCAGTCTCTGCTCACTGCCTCTGGGCCTGTCATTGGCCACCACTGAAAAGAGCCTGGCTCCATCCTCTTTGCACCCTCCTTTCAGGTATTTATAGGGATTGATGAGTTCCCCTGAGCCTTCTCTAGGTTGAAGAGTCCCAGCTTTCTCAGCACCCCCTTATATGAGAAACACTCCAGTCCCTTAATCATCTTTGTGGCCCTTTGTTGGACTGTCCATGTCTGTCTCACACCGAGGAGCCCCAAACTAGACACAGAAGTCCAGCTGTGGCGTCACCAGTGCTGAAAGAGGGGAAGGATCCACTCCCTCGATCTGAGGGCATTACTCTGCCTAATGCTGCTGAGGACACTCTTAGCCTTCTTTGCTACAAGGGCACACTGTTTGCTCAAGTTCAATGTGGTGTCCACCAGGACTCTTGGATTTTTTTCTGAAAAACTGCTTTCCAGCTGGATGGTAAATATTTTTACAGCTCCCAGTTTGTCAGACATTACTTCTCCATATTAAAACTTGGTGGACACTTTGCCTTAGTTGATGACATTGTTGAAAAGTAGCTATGCCCAACCCTGGCAGAAAGCCCACCTTCATGATGAGGAGATGCCTTCCCAAAGTTCATGACTCAACCTTCTCTTGGTTTTCACTCAGCTTTGGATCAGAGCCACCCTGGATAGGTGAGAGCAGACTTCTTAACTCTGAGGAATGCCAGTGTTTAAAGCTGTATAAACTTTCACTCATCTTTCATCACTGAACATTACCTCTTGCAAAGCTATTAAAGCCATATTCAGATACCCCACAGATTTTATGAGTGATTAATAACAAGGAGATGATTGATTGTTATTTAATTACAGCCAAGAATATTAGGGAAAGTTACTATACCGTGAATACACCTGCAAAAGAGCCTTCTCAGTATAGATCCTTTACATGGCTGGAGCTATATTACCAGGATATGCTGTGGAATCTCATGGAAGAATTAATTAATAAATGTTGAAGTGGGTTTGATAAAGGAAGTGATCACATGGGTGAGGTATATATCCAAGTGGGTATAAATAACTTAGCATCGACTTTGTTGAAATCCATTTGTCCTCCATCCAACAGCTTTCGAATAATAGCCCTCAAGGTAAGCCTTTCTAGATGTACTCTGTAATACAGGAATCAAAAAGAAAACTATGCAGAATAAGCTTTTTGGAAGTTGTAGACTAAAGTACAGAGGAAAGGTTTGAGATAATAGACTAAATATTCAGAGGTGTTAGATTTATAACTTCACAATCTGATGGAGTATTATAAGATTATTTAATAGAAATGAATGCAATATTTGACCTTAGGGAACAGATAACCAACAGTAGATGCATATTTGAAAACTGATAAATAAATGTTCGTTTATTAGGCTGTAAAAAAACTCCATGCCTGACCTACTTGGGAAATCATTCTAAATTGAAGGTGAACTGTGACTGTAGTTCAAAATCAGTCTACTATCTATCATTTAATGAATATCTGTTCAAGGCTTTTAGCTTCAGAAGAATTCTTTACATAGATTTATGTAAGGACAAGCATACCCAGAAATTGAAGCTCTCCAAAGAACATAGTGTTTATCGTTACAGAAATGTATGATACATTAGATCAATCTCAACACAGATTTAAGTAAATGTTTGACTAGATCGTAGGAGAGATTTTTTTGATGTGAGGCAAACTAATATAATGGATTGCAGACTAACTGGGTTCAATAGAAGTAATTCCAGAATGTCTCTTCATTTACAATGTTCCACAATATCTGCAGTTAAACATAATGTGAATAATTGTGTGAACATCCTATTAGATCAAGTAAGATGTGAAAACTGTTAGCAAAACAAAAGAAACTTAAAGAACATCATTTTATTGCTAAATGCATTTGCCCTGTCTAGGGCATTTTGGCAGAGCCTGCTTACTCATCTAAAGCAAGACTAAAATAAATATTGTTAGTCATATTTGTAGAGGACTGGTAAATTTTGAAGGATAAGTAAAGCTTATCAGTGCTGTAATATGTGCTTTTACTGTGACAAGGGTAAAAACTAAACTGCCTCAAGCAGAAATATGGCTAGGCTACGAAAGAATGATTTTTTAAACTGAAATATTCCCAATCCCAGATTCACAAGATAACATTCTGCCTAATATTTTACCTTACTCACCAGGCACACCAGTCTGCTGTGTGACTTTTTCTTGACTTTGGATTAAGTAAAATATGATTGTAATTCTGCTGCTGTCTATGTCAATGGTGTCGTGCACTGGTAAGTGGCAAGGTATTTTTGTAATCATTTCACATTTATGCATAAATACTATTTAAAGTATGTGCATTTGGAAACCATCCTTCTGAAGTACACCTGTCCACTCAAGCCTAGTTGTTCAACACCCAAATGCACTTTAAAAAGTTTATCTATGGAGTACTTAAAAGGCATAACTTTTCTTAGAATTTGTAGTGAAGCAAGAAACATTTAGTGGGCTTAAAAAAAAATATATACATTGTAGTAATGCTAGCATTACATCATTATTTAAGTCCTTTAAACTCAAAAATAACCCTCAACAAATTACATGTAAAGAGATCCTATTCATTGAATATGTGTGTGTTGTCTTAATTCTCCAAACTACTCAGTGCATCCTGAAATATAACTCATATTCGGCTAATGCTCCTCCTTCAAACAGGTGTAGAGAATTTCTCTTGGAAGTTAACACAATTTCTGATTGTTCTATGGGGTTATATCTAAAAGCAAAAGAAAGCTCAGCACCTCAGCAGAGACAAAACTCCGCACTGACCTACTTCAGCTTCACCAGTTTCCTCTCTGCTAAGGGGCTTCGCACACCAGAAGTGAGTAAAGAGACAGGTCTAACATAGAACACATGGACTAGAATACATTGATGGAGCTGAATCTTAACACTCCTACTATACAAATAGAAATCAGTACGAATATTAGCAGTGCCCACTGCAGTGATAGAGAAGGCCAAAATAGCTTTACCATTTACTCATAAAAATAAAAGGGGGTATTGAGTCCCCAGAGGTAAAGATAACTATATATGGATAATATCTAGTGCACTCACATATATCTAGACACTCAAAATTTTTTCTGACATAACGTTTGAAAGAGATTTACCCCCAAACCTTAAAAGTATGCACCACAGGTTTTAGATTTTTTCCCCAGCTAAGAACAATCTGAGCACAAAGATTTCAAATGTTACAGTTTTTAGATTTGGAGAGGATTATTGATTTCTATTTAAGTGGGATCTATTCTGTTGGTGTCTGCTTTGAGACTGAAGCAACTATCTTGGCAGGAACTAACATCTTCGTGAACAGCTAATGTGATTTGCTTTGAATAAATCAAATAGATTGAGTTTGCAGCACCTTGACTTTTCCCAGAACCATCAAAATTTTTACTCCCCAAGGATTATAATTACTGCATTAATGCCCTATAGTATGACATTTTAATTAGCCATAACTGCAAAAAACAGCTAGAGAAGATTTGATTGTTTTTGATGTGAGTTTGTTGTTTGGGTTTTTTTTCAAGATAATGCTTCAGAAAAGCGTTGCCAGAGTAGCAACATCACAGACACAGTCCAGAAACATTTTTACATATGCCTGAATTTTGAAAGAAATTCTGTGGATAAGGTATACAGCTGGAAAGCCCAAGAGCTGCTGTATCATACAAGTCTCCTCAGGACATGTGCCAAGTCATTTAGCAGATTTTACAAAAAGACGAGAGAAGTCGACCTCAGGTCTTCTGAGGTTTAAAGGATTGATTTTTGTAGTGCAATATTTTTCTGGATTTACAGGGAATATGTAGCATAAATAACCCCAAAAGACATGACAGCAAAAGAAGAAAAGAGAATAATTCATCCACAAAGTATTTAGTCTTTGTCCTTCCCCCACAACTTAAACAAAACTAAGTAATCTTGTTAGCAGATATTGCTTCATTGATCTTGACTTAGTGACAATCAGGAATACTGTTCTTAGTAAGGAAAGAATTAGAAGAACCAAAGGTTTACCAAGCTGCTTACCCTGCGATAGAGGTTTTTCTCCAGTATTATAAGTTAACACATACATATATTAATTGGATAAATGAGAATTATGTTTGCTGAGAAGAGCTAAGTGCAAGTAAAGGATATTGGAACAATCACAACTTTTAGCGATTCTGTAACGCGGCTTTATAAATTCTCTCCTTTCTCATGCCAACTCAATGGGATTTTCACATTTTCCAAAATTTTGCTGAAAGGACTAAATCATTCAATGGCCATTCATCAACAGACAATGAGTTTGAGTTGCGATGTTACACTGATTGTCAAAACCTGGCTTTAGACACACTTGACAGAACATGGCTTGGGGGAAGGAAGTTTGTCACTACAGAGGGAGTACACGTTTTAAGCGAGAAAATAAGGGGCAGTTTTTCTTTAGCAAGCATGTGTACAAATACATAGCATTCAATCCTATTTATTTATGGCACACTATTATTTTTCATGAAACTGAACTCTTCATGGCCATCAAACTTTCACCAAATTTGTTCCGGTTCTGTGAAAAGGCCAGCTGAAATTGGAGACCTTTTCTGGTTTGTGGGCAGCAGTCCCTTCCCCTCAGACCTGCTACAATAAATGGTGCTTCTGATGGATTTCTGCTTATCTAAAAGATTTTCGTTGTGACCAAGTCATTCAGGAAAAGAACAGCTTAAAAAGAAGCACCTCTTCCTACTTCCCTCAATCCCATATCCAAGTTCTGCCTTGTAAACTTGAGAAATTAATTGCTGGAGGCATATGACTGGCATATGCCAGAATAACTCTGAGACAGAAGCTATGCAGTGAATTTAGCATTACCTTTTTTTTTAATTCCGTTGACATATGACTCTTACCATGAACATCTTGTTCACTCCACAGAAGTTGTAGACATCCTGAGAGGACCCTATATATAATCTAAAAAAAAAAAAGAGAAGTCCTATTTTTTCCTAATCCTTTGCTAAACAGAGTTAAACCTTACATCTAAAAGTCCTACTAGTCCGCCTTACACTCTTACTTCTATATTGATGCAGGAAAATGCAACAGATTAGCAAGATAACTGTCAGCTATTTCCAGGAATCTTTTGAAGAGAAAATGAACAGCTTTCCTAATGCCAGAATAACTCTGAGACAGAAGCTATGCAGTGAATTTAGCATTACCTTTTTTTTTAATTCCGTTGATCCTTGAGCCAACAAATACCCTTGATGTATTATCTTAAAAAAAAAATAGAATAACCAAATTTAAATAAATCCAAAGAAACATATTCTCTCTTAAAAACTTGCAGAAGAAACAGGTGAAAAATGGGAAGGGAGTGAACAAGTATTACATTTCACCTGAATTCAAGACATGACAAATAGAAAAAAATAAAAGTGTGGAAAATATACCACAGCTTCTTCAAAAGGAAAAAGATGATTTAAGAAAGAAATAGTAATAGGAAGAGAAGCAATAAGGCAATAGGAAATAAGGACTCAGAAAAAAACAAATATCTTCAAATAAGTGAAGAGCACAGGGTTACAGAATGGAAACACTTGAAATAACGAAAGCAGTTGGGCAACTAAAACAATCTTACACAGTTCTGCCAATTAATCCCAGTAAGTGCTGCTGTTTAGAAGAGCACAAGCATACAAGGATTAACACATCTTTGCTTTCAAGAGCGAGTTTAACAGAGGGCTAATTTTTAAGCAGTGTCAATGTGGCCAGTACACTTCTGGCATTTCCTGGGTTTGGATGGAGCCAAGCAAGTGTTCCATGGCTTTGATAAATCAGCTTGCTAGTGCAGGAAGCTCTTCAAAATGTGTATTTGTCATAATGCAGTATATATTGATGGTTTGTTGCTTGTGTTTATTTTTTAAATCTTTTTCTTCTCAAATCTTTTTTATGAGGTAGGTGGCCAGGAATTGAAGCCACCAGCATTTCTACCAGAGCTTCTTAACACACCTGAAAGAGTTTTAAGTAAGAATGGTTTAAGCTTTATTTTTACAATATTGCATGGCAGTGGGGAGTCACTCATGCTCCAAAAGAATTGCAGTGAATTGTGGTATTAGAAAATAGTAACTTACCTCAAAATGGTTTAACAAATGAAGCAAGACATGGGTCAGTCTAGGGACAGTTCTCATAATTTACTTTTTTGAAAAAAATGTGGTTTATTTTTTTCTTTTAGGCAATGCCACATTCTTCAATGGAGTCTTTCAAAATGTGGAAAGTGTTGCATTATTTTTTGGTAAGTATGTGTGCCAGTTGTACTCGAACACTGACTAGAAATCCCATGGAGTTTGCTCTTATAGATACTGAAAAGGACATGGATTTCTGAGGCTCTAGATTTCCCCAAAGACTACTATAATTCTAAATACTACTGAATGTCAACCATTGCTCAATATCACTGTGTTGCCTTCTTGTTTAAGCTCTGCGTTCACTTGAAGGTCACCCATGTGTGGTCCACACCTGGTTCACCTCCACTCCCCATGCACTTTACAGCTATTCTCTTTCCAGACTGCCTGGGTTCTCACTTCACCTGGTTACAGTCCATCTTCACCAGTTTCCCTGCCCTGCTCAACTTTGTGAACAAAATGAAGTGTGTTACTGGGTTTTGTCCCCGGGATTTTGAAGACTATGGTTGCTCTTGCCGCTTTGAGATGGAAGGGCTCCCTGTGGATGAAGCTGATGAGTAAGTCATACCCGTGAGATGTCCTCCTCTTCACTGACTGGCCGTCAGTGGCCTCATGCTCTGATGACCCAAAGCATAACACTTGCCTAAACAATTTAAGGACAGTTGTAAAAAAATAGATTTATTCAGAGGGTGAGTAAGTCCTGCACCATCTGGCTCTGTTTAATCTAGTCATTGCTCACTTGCAGCCTAAATATCTGATATGACCTACAAAAGATAACTTTATCTCTGGTTTATCAGCCCTGTTTTGTGTTACTTCTACCTGCAGGTGAGCACCATCTCTTTGCTCAGCCAGCACCCTGTATCTGTTGTCTTAGAGAATGGCTTGGAAACATGTGAAATTGAGGTGGTCTACAGCATGTGATGATCCACTTGCTTCTTGGAGCTCAGTGTCTCTATTTCCCCCCACTTCAATGTAGAGAAATACTCCCAACGTACAGATAAAAGCAGAGTCTCCCACACCTGCATTTCACAGAATCCACAGAATTTAATATAATAGAATTTAATTCCACCAGTGCAGCTCCAGTGACAGAGCTGGTTTAGACTGGTTCCACATAGGGGTAACTAATTCATCAGAATAAGTAAACACTGTACCCATCTCTGTGGACGTACCTTAACCAGAGGTATCTAAATTCTGAACAGATCTTTGTGAATGAAACTTCATTCACTTCTTTGTATTTCAGAATTCTGTCTCATGCTTAAATTGGTGCCAAAAAATGAACAATCTGTTAATAAGGTGAGAGCATTAACCTGAGCAGTTTAGTGGGTTTGCAATCTTACCAGACAGTTGGTATTGAAAGCTGTGCGCTACACCAGTAATGTAAGCTCATAGCGGACTATAATGGAAATTTGGCAACTGAGGGCGATTTTAGCACCAACAGAATCAGGTTACACCTAAGTATGACTTCAAGTGACAGAATGTTAAGTAAATCTTGTCCTGAATATCTGTGTATAGGCAGCGGCATCCAGACACAGAGAATACCAGTGTAGCAGGATAGCTCTTCCCAGTACCAGGAGTAAAACCATCCAAAACCCACCCCGTGCTTTGGAGGGATACTGCCCCAGACCCTGACTGGGCTAGTGAGAAAACTTGCAGTCTCAGGGAAGGACAATCAAATGGTTGTTCACCTATGCTAGCAGAAGGTGTGACAAGAAGTTAAAAGAGAATCAAAATCCATCCGTGTCTAAACAGAAAAAAGGTTATTTCAACAGTGTAATGTAACGTATTGAAACCTTTGGGGAAGACAGCAATGACTCAGAGATGGCTAATGCCTATAGATAGATGAAAATTAATCCACCCACTTTCCAGTATGGGATGGCTGGGAAGATCTAACCCTGCTACTGGAAAAAAAGCCATGGAACTTCTTCTGAAAGGTTTTCTGAACAATTGTGATGACATGCTGAAACCAGAGCTCGAGTCAGTTCAATGGATTGATACCTAAAGAGCTGAGCACCTGGGCTTTTGCTCCACTTAGCTTCATTTGAATGCAGAGCAGCAGAAATACAGAAGCAGCAGAATGATTTTTCAGGAGTTTTGTCCTGAGAAATGTCTACAGAATCATTTTGCTTCTCAGGACCACATCAAGGGCCTCTTTTTCCCTTCTGGTATCTTTTGCATTCTTGTGTAAAAGTGATATGAAAGCATTGCAGTCTAATCTTGATCAGAAACTAAATTGTGCAAACTTTGTGTTATTCCATTTTTAAGCTGCTGTTTCCAGCACCGCAAATGCTATGAGGAAGCAGTGGAGATGGAGTGCACATGGGATCCATCAAAGATTTCCACAGATGTCAGCTGCTTTGCTGAAAACTTGACCTGTGGTAAGGTTAACCTGTTGCAAAAGCAAAATACTGGAGCCTCACCATGACCGAGAAGTTCATTCTGGGCTATCTACCAAAAGTCTTATATAAATTAAGCAAAAACCACCTCCACATGTGGATTTTTAAGGGCTTCAGTGTTCTTCTCTAGCCCAACTAAGCAGGAAAACTGAAGTCCAATAACTAGGAACTTTCCAGGACTCCTCTCACAGGCAGCCTCTTGCTGAAGTTTCCCTGAGTTTGCAGGACCACTAAGCATTGCTTGAGATACCTCCACACATCAGAAATGCATCAGGTGCTGAGGAAAGACCTGAATAACAGTTCGTTTCTGAAGTTTCCAGGCCTGATTTTCATCTAGTTTGAGGTATCAGATTTTTTGTTCACAGAATCGCATACACTCTTCAGCTACAACAGCATCACCAATGAGGGCAGAGATCATGTCATTATAACAGGAGCTACTCCCTGAAATATGGGTACAGTGGGGCTTATTAATTCCTAATTATTTTTAATAAAATTTTTCAGCAAGTAATGGCTCTCAGAAAAGATTATTTACTAGAATATGATTTGAGGATACCAGCAAAGAGAAACAGAATCCCCAGATCAATACATATACAGCTGTTTAAGTATCAGTCTTAGCCAATTTCCTTTTCATGTTTGAAATTAAAACCCTTTTTGCTATTTAGGCCAGACTACAAAGGCTCAGGTGCATTTAAACATGAATAGTGCTTTTTTAGCTCTTTCCAAACTAATAATCATAAAAGTCCCCATCAAAAATATGTAACACAAGTGTAACAGCTCAGAAAGGTCAATGCTTTTTACTTTGAAACCCTGAAAGTTAGGTTTTGAAGTGGGAAAATACTATTTCCTGGGAAACTGTTTCATATTCTTTACAAACAGTAGAACACACCTTACATGAAAGGCTTGGCTTGTGGACTATGACTTCCTGAGGTTAATAGGAGTATTTTAACGAAGTCTGAAATGTCAGTATCGGCTGGTTTAGGTTTTCCCTGGAAAACAACGAGGCAGTAAAGCACTGCTCTGTAGTCCTCACTACTCTGCAGAGTGAACCATCCCAGGCAAGAAGTCTATCGCCAGCCATGCCAGGCTATATTGGATGGCATTTCGAAAGCAAACTCTGCTGGACTATGCAACTTGACTGTGTTAAATGTGAAGTATCACAGTATAAATAGGTTTGCATCAATGAGTTACAGACACAAATCTTATACGGAGGCAAAAGCAGGAGGAGGAAAAAAAGATATTTCAAAGGTGCTTTGTCTGGATTCTTATTTTATCTTCAGAGTCTGAGGATCCCTGTGAACAGTTCCTCTGCAGCTGCGACAAAGATGCCATTGAATGCTTTGGGAAGACACATATTAACTCTTCCTTGAATGGGCTGGATATCTCCTTCTGTCTGTCTCCAGTTACAGGTAATAATAAGGATCTAATCCACTGCCCCATCCTGCCAGTTCTTCTGCTGGCATCAAATTTGACCCAGCAAGAATAAAGCAGTAGCCGGGTGCTTTCCTGCATTAAATCCATCAGTCTGTCCTATTCTCTGATTCACATATCCTTTCCATTTAATGCTACTCAATTGAATACCAAGAGAGAAGAAGAAGATGGACTAATTGCTGTCCTGGAGCAAGTCCAGGAGAGGTTACCAAGTTGGTGAGGGGGCTGGAACACAAGATGAAAGAGAAGGAAGCTCAGGGGAGATGGATCTTTTTGCTGTCCTTAATACCTAGTGAGGTGTACAGAAAAGATGGATCCAGACTCCTCCTGAAGGTGTACAGAGACAGGACCAGAGGCAAGAGACACATTTTCTACAAAGAAATTCCAGTTAGATATGTAGAATTTTAATTTTCAGGAGGCTTCTGCCAAGCCTGTGAGACTCTTGCCAACCTGAACGAATGGGTGATGCTTGGGGTGATTAGTGATCCACTGAGGTCACTGGCAGGAATGCCAAACTAAAAAGAGTGCCAGCACACATCTACCTTTAAATCATGCAAAAACTACCTGGAAAGGCAAAAATAGAGCCCCTCTGCTCTGTTACTTGGTTGCCTTCTCAGAAGGAAAAATCCTCTGTAAGGATTAAGGGGATATTTATTTCCATTCTCATACTCTGTTCTGTGCTCTGTAGCTGAAATTACAGCCTTGTAAGAGTGAATATCTGTCCTATGAGAACGGGGCTGGATTAAAAACTTAATTCATATGGATTGCAATCAGAGCATGGCAGGGGGAGGACCTCTGAACACCCAGGCTGAGACAGACGTGAAAGAGCAGTACTAGTTTTTCTAATCCTTCGGCTCACTGACACAGCACAGTGCTAAGGACAGATACACACATCTGTATCATGCCCTGGATGTGTGCAACCCCTCTTGAACAGGTCAAGGGACAAGAAAACGCCACAGGAAAGCTGGCATCAAAGCCTAAAAATTGTTTCATGTAAGCCAGTAATCTTTCACTGGGATCAGATGGCTCTAATATAATGTACGACAATTCCAACACATTGCAAATAAAGGGGAAATTGTTAGGTGTTAACAGGAAAATCATGCTGGTTTTACCACTGCTGATGAAGATAGACTGCTTCAGTTCCCTGGATACCTCTGCTAATTTTAGGCTCCTGATTATATTTCTTAATGGAAGAAAAATCATTTGAATGAAACATTTTTATTTAGTGTTCACTCATGTTATCTTCTTTCTATATAGCTGTTCTGTCCAGTTCAGGCTTTGAAAAAATAATAATCCTATCTGACAAAATTCTAGGAAAAGGATTTTGGTAGATTCTTTTTTTGTAACAAAGAAAAAAAATGAATGAAATGCAGATCTATTTGCCTAAATCTGAGCTTCAGTAAGAACAAAATAAATGAATTCCTGGCTTATACTATTCAGATTAAATAGTGACAAACCCCCTTCTCACACTTGAGTCTATGAGAAAGATTTCTCCTTTTCAGAAACAACCAGCAAGAGAGAGATGACAGCATTTCACACAGAGGGTATGTCCTTATTTCTGTAATTCTTTGATGAGAGTATATTAAATCAAGACAAATTTATACTCTGAAAAAATATAATTTCTGGAAGTTATGAATTCCTTTTCAAAAAGCAAAGACAAGATTTAGCAAGATATCACAATATGAAAGGTTTTTAAAAAAAAACTCAAAAATCCAAAGCATCATTTTTATGTCAAGCTTTTACACAGGTGCACAGGAACATTTCAGCCAAGTAACTCTTTTTTCTAGAAAGAATAGAGACAAGAACACTGAATCTCATTTAGAAATAATATAAGAAGAAACACACTAAAACCATAAAATATTTTCAGATTAATCCTTTTGTGTCTGCATGCACACTTAAGACCCTCCCTGCTCCAAGAAGGTTCCTAGCCAAAAGCTTGGATTTAAACATTTTTCTGTTTAAGTGTTTAACTCTTACAGAATCATAGAATGGTTTGAACTGGAAGGGACCTTAAAGACCATCTGGTTTCAAGCCTCCTGCCATGGGCAGGGACATCTCTCACTGGCCCAGGTTGCTCCAAGCCCCATCCAGCCTGGCCTTGAACACTTCCAGGGAGGGGGATGCCACAAAAAAAAACAACCTGTGCCAATGCCTCACCATGCTCTTCATACCCTTATCTCACCACCCTTATCTTCATAACTTCACTGTAGGACACATATTGAAGTATCTAATGAAATGGGAATTTAAAGAATGCTGATTGCTATGCTATTTCTCTTGTTTAGGTTGAAACTATGATAGAGACTGATTTATATTTTTTTTATTATATTGTGTGTTGCTGAGTAAAATTTAATATCAGCAGTGAATAAATTATTAAAGCAGGCTTTTAATACTGTTACTGTAATTATCAATAATGAGGATGTTATTTACTATATTTATATAAAGTAATAACTGTACAAAAAACACTACAGTAGTAATTTTTATAAATAAGTTCCATTCTGATGACTCTCATCCTATTCTGCTGAGATCCACTCTAATGAGCATCCTAAGGCATGGCCCTCTGAGGTAAGAATCCTTTTATTTTTGCAGAGTTCCTTCATCACGGGACTGACAAAACACAGGCTGCAACAGCGTCCATGGAAGAAGGTTTGCAACTTACAGTGCAAGAAGCACTGTCTTCCAAAAAAGCTTCCAAAAGCTGAAAGAATAAAATACAAGAATAAGCCACTTGCTTTCTTACTGCCCTTCTAAAAGGACTGGTATAAAAGTAGATATAATGTTTTGGTGGTCCAAGACTGAATGAGAAGGTGCCATTTTTCAATTTGTGTATGTGATCTGCTCAGCTAGTGTTTACAGTAAGTTTCCCAAGGGCTGAGAATGAGCACTCTACGATAAAACCTGTTTTCATCCAAACAGATCCTTTTCTCCCTGGGAACACAGGCTGTAGCAGGTGAGCTGTTTTGCAAACACAGGCTGTGTGGGTGCCAGCCACCGGACCCACAACCAAGTGCACACTTACTATCTTTAAAGAGACATTTAATTATATAGGATCAACAGTGGCATGAGGAAAGGGTGAGCATGGTTTGTTGCAAATGAACCAGCAGTCCGATGGTTTATTTACTTGCAATGTAGAGACCCAGGTTAAATTCCTTTTTGCTCTGGTGCCTCCTGGGAGAGTTCCTAAATCATGAGACCCAATGGTTCTTCTGACAATCTTAATTTTTTTTTCTGCTACAATTGATAACTAACTTATTCAGGAATAGCCGCTTGCCAAACCTCATTGCTGCAGTGTAACTAAACCATTCTCTTTCTGTCTGCGTGGTGTGCACTACAACACAAAAGGCCGTGGGCAGAAGTCATCCAAAGCCCTGAGGGGCTCTGGAAGGGCATAAGTCAGTCATGCAGTAGTGAGACAGAGAGGACCAGTCTTGGACCATCCATTATCCAATTTAGCTGATGCATTCTTGTAATGTGGCCCCATCACAAGCAATGTCAGGTACAGATTCCCCAAATCTGCCAAGTTCACAAGTAATGTGCACTGGATGGGTGCGACCAAGCTGCTGCTCAGCACAGATAAACTTGGGAGTTATTTTGTGGGAGTGGAGATAGGGGGAAAGGTGCACTTTTTGAGAACTGTAGAACCTGGTTTCAAGCCATAGTGTGCTCCTCTGTGTTTCTCAGAAATAAGCCATTGCCCTAAGTGTGATTCTGGAATAACAAAAAAACATATGAAATTTATTTCTTCTCTTTTTTTATTTCCTTCCTTTTTTTTTTTTAAAGAAATAATACTTCAGGTTTTAACAGTGTTTTAAAAAATTTTTAAATTCATATGACATGCACAAGGGTACGTGCGTGACAAGGCTTTGTGGTGAGTGTATGTGATCGTTTATGTTCCGTCATATTTCTGCATTACGAAGGTGTTTGGGGTTTTATTTTACCAGATATTTCTTGTTCTCCTCTAACAGCAGCTCCAATATTGGTTCATGTTTTCTTAGCTGCTTCCGGGAGGCTTGGTAATAGAAAACTGAGAACTCCTGCAGGAGTGAGTGCACCTGCATTTGCACATCTGTAACAATTTTTACTTCCGGAAAAAAACCAACTACTCGCACTCTTCTAAAGAGGCATAGTTCGTCATACGGAATACACCCAAGAGAAAAACCTGTGTTGGGAAGTCTAGAAAGCTGAAAACATATTACAGATAACATACTTGGAGAACCACTTACCATTTAACTTGTGGTCTCCCCATTTAAGCCCAAAGGAAATTCACCATTGACAAGCGAGGGAACTGCGTTAACGCAAAGCTAAGTACCACTCAGAAGCTAATTCAAAGGCAAAGACATTCCTCTTCACATCACAGCATCCTACCAACACACAGAAAGATGCAAAGATGAGTTTTTTGATCATTTGATGGCAATTTGTATAATAGGAGGCAAACACAAGGTGTTCACAAGAAATGCGGCATCCTTCTGTGGGCAATAGTGAGATCTTAGACTTAAGCTTCTTTATTTTATTTGTCTGTCAAATGGATTTAATATTGAGTTTGCCACTTCGGTCACATTTATGCTGGTTCTTTGTTAAAGCACATTATTTGAACGCAGCAATGAGATTATTTTATCAGTATCACTTTGCTGACAACAATCAGTGCACAGTTGATAAAAACAGGCAAATCTCTATAGGCATGAAACGCCGGGGTCTTCCTGCTTTGCTGACAAAGCTCTGCTCAGCAACTTGACTTTTGATAAGTCTGTGCTCGTGACTTGTTTTCTGAGTTTATGTTTTCTGTCCTCAACAGTGGTTTCTTCTGAGCCCAGTGAGATGGTCCTGGGGACTTCCAGAGCCAGAGGTAAGAGTCTGATTTTATGTTTGTTGAAAAATCAGGCCCTCCCGGTGAAGATGGATTTGGGTTAATGAAGCTCTGTGGCATCACAGTCAAAAATCTGCAGCACAGGATTTCTGGGTAATACCTCTAGTTTTTCTGCCAACTTGCACATCCTTCGGCAAAGCACTTTGTTTCTCCTTATTACCCTCTTTATAAAACAAGTCTAACAGTGATGTTTGGTTAAGCTTTATGCTGTTTCCAGTAAAACTCACTCCAGAAATGCATGGCAGAAACACAGCATGACCACGCCGCCTCTGTTCTTTGTCCAGTTACCACAGGGGACCACAGAGGTACAGCTCCTGCTCCCTCAGTCCTCTCGATAAAAGGTCAGTGACTCTCAGCTTTCATTTTTTCTTTGACTGACGTCGCAATACTTCATCTAAAAATATCACAGTTAAAAATCCCTGCATGGTGATGACAAGGCTGCTGAAGAATCAAATTTAGATCAGGGTCAGATAGCAGATACACAAACAACAGAACCAGACTGAGAAGTATTAGCTGTTCGTTGCCTCAAGCCACTCATTTGCACTCCTCAACCAAGTATTTGTGAAAGTCTCTTCACATAAGGTTCTCCGATATATTGGTTGTCTTTTTTTTAAATTACATTCATAGCATGTGCTGCCAGACCAGTTCGTTTTGATTTTGCTTCTCCCTTTATTACACAGAATTTCATGCAATTCTTTCCCAGTCTAAAACCTATTTTAGCTTTTGGATTTTTCACTGCCACACTTCCAGCTTCAGCTGGAAGGGAAGCGCTTTGGTGGACTTGGAAATTTTCAGTGGCCCCTTTTTTGTAGAAAGGATTTTTCAGACAGACTGAAATGGGGACAGAAAAGTGTCAAGGAACACTGAATATAAAGAGTACAAAGGAGCAATTTTTTGACTCTGAGTACGCTGTCAGAACAGTATTCGTGTTGCCCCCCCAATAAAGAAATTCAGCACTGCTGTACTAAGCACTCGTCAAAATGGCTAAACATTCTGCTCCATTAACTTGAATGTATCAGAAAATCTGTGTGCTGTGCTGCAGATCTGCATGGCTCCCAGAAGATTATTTGTAATATGTATTCTTAGCTAAGTGCAGAATTTCCCAAAATCCAGTTTTATATTCTACATCTAGCAGGAATCGTTTTCCTTTCAACACGTCACTGTCAAATGAATTGGCATAAAATGTGCACCTGGCTGAGCTATTAACTTGAGCTTTAATATTGCTTTAATATTTTTTATATTGCTTTAATATTTTAACTTATTTTAACTTTAAACTTACTTTTAACTTTTAACTTATTTTAACTTTTAACTAATTTTAACTTTATTTTATATTTATTTTTTTTTTATATTGCTTTAATATTTTAACTTGAGCTTTAATATTGCTGAGCTATTATCTTGAGGATATGGTGTAGTGGTTAGAGAAATGCTGGGAAAAAGCATGGACTTGATGACCCTGGAGGTCCTTTCCAACCATAATGATTCTGTGATTCTGTGATTCTGTAAAACTAGTGTGTTGCTTGTGATACCTTTCTGCAACCTTTCATGGGTTTCATTCTGTTCTTAGCAGTACTTTCATGTTTTTAATCTATTATCTTATTCTATGGCAGGTTATTTTCAACACATACTAAAACCAGAACATTGGAAGCATAAATTTAATTAATTTGCATTTAGTCCAATTAATAAATTCAGCCACGGAATTAAAAAAGAGAGGCTTTAAAAAGTGAAAACACATGTTCACTAGTATTTTCGGAGTATTTTGTTTCTGAAATGTCATTTTTCATATTGACACTTAGAAAAAATGAAACCATTTCATTTCAATTTCCTAACAATGTTTTCATTTACAAGTTAGCCTATATAAAAAAGGTTAAAGAAAAGAAAGAAAAAAGATGTTAAGTAATCCCCAATTTAAAAATACCACAAAAAGCTCAAAAATAAGCTTCAGATAATCTAAAAATAAATACCAATTTAAATTTTAGGATAAAGAATCTCCTTAAAATTATGTTTTTATTCAGCCTGAATTTATTTTCCCCTTCATAGGTCCTTGTGGTTACAACATGGTAAATCCTTCAGTTTCGCAGCTCTACATCAGTCAAACAACTTTCTGCCTTTACTAAAGTTGCTCTCAGGTTTTGTACCCTCACACAAATTGACACTTTTTAAAAGCAATTTACTCAGAAAATGACATCTCGTGACACCTCACCTGTACTTCATCTCTCAGAATGCCTGACTAACCAGAAACCCATATTATTTTCAGCAACAGGCACAGCTCTTCACCTCAGCATGCAACATGCAAAATTAAAAAAAAATAAATCAGTATTTAAACTGGTCATATTTAACCAGCATGTTTTATTCTGAAAAGCAAAAGATGTGAGGAAATAATCAGTGTGGATACTCTTTGCTTACCCAGTTTTTGTCTTGGGTGTTTTTTCTCTATGATCACCAAGTCACACCAGTTCTGCCTAAAGATATTACTCTGGCTGGCTATCTAAAATTAAAATCTTGCTGTTTTTTTTCCATGTCTTCATCTGCTTTCTTCTTTCTGCTTATTTAGAAGAAGATGGATTTATGGAAGCTGTGGTCCTAGTGGAAGAGATAACCACCTCCCCACCCTCATTCCCAAGAGATATTAACTCAATGCAAATTAAAACTCTTCCCACAGAAAAGATTCCTGCAGGCACATCTGCAAGGATGAAGGAAAAAGGCAAGTAAACACTGAATTACACCTATTCTAATTCACAGCAGTCCCCTATTCCCTGTCACAGCTATATGAGGATCCAGTATGTTTCCTAGATATGGAGAAAAACATTATTTTCTCCCTAAATCTGGGTAGATCACATAGAATATAGGGAACACAGCACTGATTGCACGGGAGAGGGTAGATCACTGTCAAATACAGACCAGGAAACCTTAACTGTTAATGAACAGTCTTCCAACTATGAATTCAACAAATGCGACAAGACTGACAATTCAGCGAAGTTTTGGGCGCATTACTGAAAGGATATTTTATTCCACCTTTGAAAATCTAATCCATGCACATGTCATCTCCAGAGACAAGCCCTGCAAGGAGTGACCAGAGCACAGCTTCTCCTGGAACGGCTGTGGAACTGGTACTGTCTGACAGGGGACCCAATGAGCCTGAAGGAAAAGGTAAATGAACCTTTCTTTCCCCCAGTTATATCTAATGAAAGATGAATCTACTTCTACATTAAATAATATTTAAAGGTAGGTGTATATTACATAAAAAGTTAAGACAGGCACATGTGTATTGGCATTTATAAAACAACAGGAGATGCAAGTCATCTGCAAAAGCTTCCAACAGTTTAACCTCTTCCACCCATGTGCTACCATTAATACTTAGAAAAATTATTTATGATTAGGTTATAAGTACATTTTTCATACAGTACATGATCCTAAATGAAGTCTTCCTCTCGATTTTGTTTTTTGGCAGTAATTTAATCACATATTTGAGTTACTTTATTTTACAAGCAGCAGAAGCAACAAGTTTCTTCCCCTGCTCCTCACTCTGATATCTTGCCAAGGTTTTGCCAGAGTAGGCCTTTTTCTCACCAGTTCTGATTCTGTTCCCACTCGTGCTCAGAGTCCACAGAGATCTCAAGACACTTTGGACCTGTTGTTGCTGTAAATCCACACTCATGGGCTGTCCCATCCATCTTGTTAGGATTCCCAGTGGAGAGAAGCGGTCCCAGAACTGGAAAGGAGCAGCCATGAAGAAGCTCCCGAGCCTTCCACCAAACTGAAAAATAAAGGACTGTGAAATAACAACTTTTAGACAGTGCACATCAACCCGGGGCTCATTCTTAGTGAATTAACATGAATGAGCAAAGACCCAAGCAGGCACATGGGCAGAATTCTTGTCGCAGAGAGCAATCCAGGGCTGTCCCTGGAAGAAGCTGCAGAAGGGAAGATGGGATTACTCACAGGTGCAAGGAAGAGGCACAGGGAACAGAAGTAATCCAACCACCAGCCCCTACAAGTCCTTTCTTTGGCAAAGTCCCAGAAGAGGCCCCCTTGACATCTTGTTTCCTGATATGGAACACACTCTGCTCTCAAATCTTAGGGATAACTCTCACAATATCAGTTCTTCCTGGGTGAGGGAAGCCACAGAAGCGTTACAGTTGGGACATGGGGATACAAAACCACAGCAGCACCACAACCATTATGACAGATTAGTCCTGCATTTGGACTAGGGGCATCACACTTCAGATTGAACTATTTTTTTTTTTTTTTGTTCCTCGACCACCATAGTCATTGCCTAGCTACGGCTGTGCAAGCATGAGGTTAAGACCAAATTAGCCTAAACAGAAGTAACTGAATACTCAGTTACGTTGGAATAGTCTAGAAGAAAAAATTAACTGTAAAGGATTGCAAGGGATTGCAAAGCACTCATATTGCAATCCAATTTGATTTGTAATTTATATCTTCACAGGGATCTCTCTACCCTTCAAGTATCTCCTCCCCCACTTCTGCTGTCTTGTTCAGTTGTATTGTAAGAGATACAGTTCATGGACTAGAGCAATAATGTGGAAATAGTAAATGTTTCTGATAGTTCTGAAAACACTTCTATCATCACAAGAGAGCCCCCAACCAGTGAAAACATGATGTGACACATAAAATCTTTTTGCTTTACAGTATGTGAGCGATTAACCTTTCTGCAAGACAGAGGAAATGGGAGAGTGAAGAGGGAGCTGCCCCAGCTAGGAGAAATGCTGTTCTGTTTAACTGAGCGATGCCCAGAGGAATTTGAGTCTTACGGTTGCTACTGTGGCCAAGAAGGAAGAGGTTACCCTACTGATGCACTGGACAGGTATTATTGGGGTGACTACAGACCAATAAAGATACCTCTTGTTGGGTTTTGTATAGCTACATGTCCGTAGTCAGGCCACAGTTTGAAAAAAAAAAAAATTCCACTTAAATACATAAAATATGAGGCACTCCAAAGACACTAAGACACATTCTAGTATTTTATTAATGTTTTGGATAGGACTAACTCAATTAAAATAAGAAAGGAAAATGATGGAAGGTAAGTAGAGCAGATGGAAGGATGTATCATAAGAGATGAGGATAAGGGTTGCCATGAAACTTGAGTAAGAGCTTGTTTGGAAGATGGTTTATGACAAGAAGAGTTAACGTGCATCCATGCCAACACTGTCCTTCAGAAGAGAGTAGATCTCGAGTGAAGTACGGCCTGAGCTGCAGCCAAGAGACCTGCCACAGCCAAATGTGCTGTCACGGCATGGATGACGAAGAGGAGGAATTCTGGAGTAATGCAGAGAATTCAATCAAAGTAAAGAAATCTCCTCTGGGACTGTTGCATTTACAATTAAAAACCTCTCTCTGTGTGGAAGCTCATGACAATTAGGGCCACATCCAGCACTTAGTACACAGCACACACAGTTTTCCTACACTTCAAGACAAGTAAGACAGCCTACACATGGTAGACTAGACGAAGGCCAGTCAAGGCTCTGGCAATCATGATGCAGCTTTCAGGTTTTCAGCCGTCAGTACTGAACACTTGAAGACACTTCTCACAGCGGACTGGATCACAGTTACAACTGGAATTTCACATCTTAAAACAAAATCCCCCTAAAAAACTGCAGCACTGTTAAACATACAGTAGCAAAGGAAGGAGGTAGTGAAACTAGGAACAGGGATAGGAGGACAGTAGGAAAAGTTTGGATTGTTTTTCTTCTTCTTTATGGAAAATATTTTTCCATGATATGAAAACTTTTATCAGTTTTAATGGGCATTGAAAATAAAAGAGATAAAGTAATTGTGCGTACTCTGTGATGGAGGAAGAGTATTTTTCATTTACATCTACTGTTTATTATAGGTGCTGTTTCTCTCATCACTGTTGTATGGAACAAGCCAAGAAACTTGGATGTCACGCAGAAAGAAGTTCAAGATCTGAAGTTGTATGTTTGGATCATAAGCCAGAATGTAAGTTTTTCTTGGAGGAAATTTCTCATGTCCTGATGAGTGTTACAGACTGAAGGCCACCATGCCTGTGAGCTGCTCAAGCTGAGTATGGAGACAGAAAAATGTGTTTTACAAAGCATTAGCAATGCTTACTATAAACCCAAGCTTTTTTCCTAGTTTAGATAAAGGTTATTACACCACTGTGCATGATGTGAACAGGTCAGGCTGGGAAAATTACATTCAGACATTTTCTGATTAAAGTCAGCTGCTGGTGTTTGCATTCACAAATTCAGCTAAAGCCAGGTGGACCTTCCGCTGCCCAGCCCCTTGGTGTCAGGCTTATATTTAGATGATTAAAGACGAATTTGAAGAATAAAATTCAATGAAGATTTGAAAATTTTACTTTCAAAAGCTTATCTCCCATAGCAAATTACACATTGACTAACTTTAACTGCTTTCAAATGTTATTTTTTTAAACTTCTTCTTAAGGTATTGGTTGGAGCATCTGTGAGAAACTGCTCTGTGCTTGCGATAAGACAGCAGCTGAGTGCATGGCTTCTGCCTTCTTCAACGAAAGCCTGAAGTTTCCACACATGCAAGAGTGCCAAGAGAATAAAGTCGTGTGCGGAAGAGACCCTTACGAAAGACCTTCAGCTGGCACAGAAGTAGGCACAGGGATTTCCAGCTCTGAGGAGAGCAGTGAGGAGGAAGGTCCTCTGTGGAGCGTATTAAGAAGGACAAAGAGAGAGACACAACCTCCTGCTGGAAACTCCAGAAGTGTACAGCCGGAGGGCAGATAACCAACCGCTGCCGCATGCTTGAGAAATGGCACGAAGACCTGTGGAGTCAGCCATTGCGTACCTTATTCCTTCTTACCACTCTGCAGGCTGCTTTGCACTTTCCAGCACATAAATGACATAATCGTAGACTAGGAGTTAAATGCTAGGCTGTGTAACTCCTTACCATAGTCAAGTTGGCACTATGGATCATCTATTTAGGTCAGATATTACTGTAAATCATTCTTGGACAGTATTTTGTATAATGCATAATTTCATTCGATTTCTGTGTAAAAACTGTCCTGATCAAAGACTGATTTTTGTTAACTGTGTAGTTGGTTCAGACTGGATCTTGCTGATGGTGGCTAAGTATTTCAAGTTTTTAATTAAACCAATCTGCAACTATTGCAACTCCTTTTGCAGACATTCTTCCTTTACTGAAGGTTAGTACAAAATAGCCAAAAGAAAAGCTAAGGTAATTACATGAAAATGAGCTCTTTCTTCCCTTCTTATCTAATCACATTTTTCAACCCACAGAGTTTCTGCTGGTCAGGCAGATCATGATAGCACAATCTCAGCCCCAAAGCTGTGTGCTATGCATAGTTATCTCCAGTTCTGAGAGATTTCAGGATGCTGAAGGGAATAATTATAAAGGTTCTTCTTCTTGAAATCAACTAGAACTAAGGGATTCTGAAGCATGCAACGTAAAGCTGGAATAATGCTTTTTGATTTCTACTGAACCTAAGTTTGTTTGCTCCCCCTTCCTCACCCCCTGGCCCCCCCAAACTCACCACTCAAAATGTTCACCAGTTATCAGACGGTAGCAGTGTAATAGGATCATAGAATGGTTTGGGTTGAAAGGGATCTTAAAGATCATTTAACCCCTCTGCCATGGGCAGAGACACCTCCCACTAGACCACGTAGCTCAAAGTCCCACCTAGCCCGGTCTTGAACACCCCCAGGGAGGGGACATCCATGTCACTGGGAAAGCTGTTCCAGTGTCTGACCATCCTCACAGAAACGAATTTCTTCCTCATAACTAATCTAAATCTACTCTCTTTCAATTTAAAATCGTTATCCCTCATCCTACCACAACACTCCCTGATGATGAGTCCCTTCCCTTCTTTCCGGTAGCCCCCTTTAAGCAGCAGAAGGCTACTACAAGACCTCCCCAAAGTATTCTCCAGGCTGAGCAACCCCTTATTTTCTACATTAAAATTGCAAAGGCTTAGAGCAGTGCAGAAAAAAGGAAAAATACCAAATCCCCCAAAACAGAAACAAACCCAAAAGGTAAGCCACATGAATCCCACTGCCTACAGTGAGATTGATCACTTGAAGATAGATCTATCACTTGAAGACAGATCCCAAAGACAGATCATTTGAACCGATGAAAGTAACGGAGAAACTATAATATAAATAAGTTGTTTCTTGGGCAATGTTGTCATTATTTCCTTCAGGCTTTTTTTCCAGTATCTCTTACTTCAGGAAAAATTTAACACCAGCGTTGTTCTGCAGATTAATTACTACCATATGAACTATGCTGATAAAGAGAAGTCTTAAATAATCTAGCTATAATCAGCTCTATTTATTCATTCTCAGAGATAAGTCCTAAAATACTAAATAAAATGAGAGCAGAACAAGGTGAGACATTTAACATAGCATTTTTCTTTCTTCTGTTATTCTCACAGTTGCTTTACATATTTTTCAAAGATTTGGGGCATAGCTGGCCAAAACCTAGTTGCTTCCCCAAAGTGAACACCTAATCCATTAATTACTAATCTAAAATGATTTCCTACTTCATTAGATACTGATTTACTTGCTTTAGCTTTCCAAGAACTTATTCTTTATCTTTAAGCTGATACAGTATTAAAGATTTGGGGGCTGGTTAGCTCAGTCGGTTGGAGCATGGTGCTGATAACACCAAGGTCGCGGATTTGATCCCTGTTTGGTCCCCATGTGTTGCCTGATCTAGTTGAGAGGCGTCCCTGCCCATGACAGGGAGGTTGGATTAAATGATCTCTAAGGTCCCTTCCAGCCCAGGCCATCCTATGATTCTGTGATGATTTGGGGATATGATTTCATAAACAACTTGATACAATTTAGGAAGACACAAACTCCAGAAACCAGATTCAGTTGTACTGGTCACCTTGATCACAGTATTTTTAAAACTGTAAGCAATGAATGAGTAAAGTCTTTCGAATAAAGGCAACACTTAAGTAAAAAAGACAGAGACTCTAGTAACCAGAAAGTATCTCTTAACAACTGCTCACCTGTTTTGTCTTAGAGTGGTTCCCACATTTTTCCCCTCCTTCTCTGGTCCCATGTCACAGGGTGACAGAATCTTTTGTTCACCTGGACACCTCTTTAGACATGATACAAAATAATCTCCCAAGCGTGGCTAGTGTTTTCTCCCTGGATTGTTTTGAGGTATCCATCATCAAAACCCTGCTCAGACCAACGGGAGCAACAAAAGAAGCTGATGACCATGTCTCTTAATAGAAAGTTCTGAGATACATGGTAAGTCATAGATTATAGCAGAAGACGCCTGTCCTCTTTTTTTCATAAAAAGATATTTTCCTAAATATACACAAAGTTTAACTAATCTCTGCAAAAAAAATATGAACTGAGGAACAAGGGAAAAAAAGACAATATAATTCTCTCTCTGTTAGAATGTATCTCACATCAACTAGAGAATTTCCTGACTTTCTTAAAACAGAAAAAAAGAATTGCTCTTTCCACTTCTCTCAGGGTGCACTACTAAAACCATTTAAATAAATGAATGTTACCAAAAAAAAGAGAGCAAAAAACAAGAGCATAACACTCAGCCCCATTAGATGGCATGACTCTGAGAAATGCCACATGTGGGTGAGCTGTACACGGATCTTCAGACTCACAACTTTATCACTTGAAATCAATACAACAAAACCAACACATTTTCTAACCAGGGAAGCAAGCCTGAAAAGCATAGCTTATTCATCTTTTGAAGTTTATTTGCCATTAGGAAATTATTTTTGTGTTGTTGCATTCACAAATTGTAGTGGTCTTAGTAATAGTAATAGTAATAGTTTAATAATAAATAAAAGTACTAGTTTAGTAATGCTGCAATGCGTTGTAAAATGAGGTCTATTTGACATTTTAATTGTGAGCAATAAAATTAACTGACACCTCAAAAAAGATTAAATTTTGGTTTATTTTATTGCTTAAATATAGATTGCACAGTGTGTTCTTACATTTATTGAAACTGATTCATTACATACAGTACAGAATATATGACCATCAGAATAACAGATGAATTAGCCCTACTCTGATTTTGGACAACAGGCTAGTTCTATCTTTTGAAATTAACACGGATTTAATTTTCTTTAAAGTGACCCACTATCAAAAGCTGTATTTTTACTTTTTTTTCAAAATGACATAATGGGAAAGAGAACCCAAAGCAAAAGCTGGAATACATTTGAACAGCTGGATACCAATTTATACAGTTGTGTAACACAGGGCCGGATGCATCTGGAGCTTTTAGGTTCTGCAACTTGTTTTAAGAACACACAAGAGATAAGTGAAACAAAGCAGCTTTATACTGTACAACAGCATTCTTAATTCATTTGGTTTCATTCATTAGCTACATATAACAATAGCTACTAAACCAAAACATTTTACAGTCACTCCCATTTCCCAGCTGTCTAGAAAGGCCAGAAGTGAACCAATTATCAACTTACATACTCCCTGAATTTCCAGAAAGGAAGAGATTAAATATCACGTCAACATACAGGGCGTTACAAGCTCTTCACTCCCTGCACAATACCTGCACAACACCTGCATTTCCCCTCAGAAAAGCTCCATTGAAAACATGGAAACCAACCATTAGCATAAATGAAAACTACTTCCTAAACAGAAGAGAAAATGAAATACTGAATCTAATTATTTTCACATGCAGCATTCATGCAAGAGAATTCAATCACAGAAACAATCCTGTATTTACAGCACAGTCTCCATACTGCAAGAGTGCAAACAAAGTACATTATTTATTTCTTAGACACCTGATTTTCTTTTTGTACAAAAGTGCACAGTGTTATTCTTAAAAAATGACAGAGTGGACAAGTGTTTTACATTGTATCCCTAGGTTAGATTCAATATTTAAAAAAATTACACTCTTCATATAGGCCAAAAAACTATTATGTCTTACCTTAAAAAAACCCAAAAAGTGAAAACTAAAAGCTAGAGTCCTATTTATGTGTAGACTGTGGTCTGATCAGGCTGATAACGCTGCAGCAGTAAAAATCACAACGGAATGCTGTAGATAAGGGGCTGTTTCGTCATCCACTAACAGCTGTGATTGCACTGTTAAACTGAAAAGAAGGTCTCAATTACCTTTTGAGTTTTGTGAATGCTTTCCCAAAGTCTCAGCATGTTATCTCATAGGTTTAAGTAGCTGATATTTCTCTGATGTTATGTCACGTCCAGCTTTTAGAAGCAGTTCAGTGGAATACTGTACTACAGTTCAAAAAAGTTTTTATCTTTTTAGAGTGGGTTTGCAAATGCTCAAAACAGCCAGTACATGAGCTGGCCTGGCAGCCATTCAGATCTTGGAACCATGCTACCACGGGTTAATTTAGGCTGGGACTTCGCAATGTCACCGAAACCACCCTCCTGCTCAAAGCAGAGCTAAGCCAAGTTAGATCACTTTGTTCATGGCCTGATCGCTGTTTTTCTAAACCTTCAGTGTCGTAGGGTTTTTACAGATATTTGAGAAAAGTCATTCATGTTTGTGCTGCTTCAGTCAGATTTGCATAGATTAAGGGACTTTGAATTTACTATTCATGGCATCAATGAAAGCTGACTTTTCTTTTTGCCTGCTGAATTTAGTGAGTCATAAAGACAGCCTTGATAGTTATCACCAAAAAGTCAGTGATTTACTATACTGGTTTTACTTTATTTACATTTGAATAGTATACTCAGATACATAAACCTATGAAAGTTACCGTATTTCCTCATTTCTAGAAAGGACTGAGAAATGAAACAAAAACAAACACAGAGATGCATCTCTAAAAATGCTTTTGCTTGAAAACATTTAATAAACTCTTGGCCTTTAAATGGTTTCAGCCATTTTTCTTTCAATTTCTAAAATACCATTAAAAAGCTGTAATAAACTACAGAGAAATACCTCGTAGAATATATTTCTAATTTCTGTGTTTATGATTTAAACGCCCTCAGTTTATTTTCTGCTATACTAAATATATCTCTCATGTATTTATTATAAAGCAGACAGTAAAATACTACTGCATTTTCAAAAGTACAGTCTGTAAACCATACATCTTAAGACATGAAAAATATTGCACAATTCAGTGCTCCAGGAGATTTCTCCTCTCTTACGCAAAGCAGTTAACTTTTAGCAAGAAATACAGGACATATACCTGGCATATATACCTAAAAATCATGTTATGTGATGCATCAGAAAAATACTTAACACTGTCCTGGGTTTAGCTAAAAACCCGGTTCTGTTTAGTGACTTTTACTTTCCAGTTTAGTCTTTTCTAAAAGGCTCCTCTGCAGCCTTTAAGATTGCTATTGGGTGATTGCTATCGAGGGAGGGAGTCGGGCTACTACCTATAGGTGTATATAGTTGTTTACTTTTATCATTTCACCATTATTTCCATTATTTCATTAAAGCTGTTTTAGTTTTTCTTCTCTAACCCGTAAGTCTCTCTGCCTCATTCCCTTTTCCTTCCCGTTTTGGGGGGGAAGAGGGGGTTAGAGAGTGTCTGTCCATGTTAGTGGCCGGCCCAGCCTCAACCCGCGACAAACACGTGGCCATTAATTCATTTACTGTACTTGAACATATGTAAGATGCTGGTTTTTTCCCCATATATTCCAAAATAAACAAGGTGACTGCCTACGACAGCATGAACAAAAGGGAGCTAAGGTAATGCTCCACTGGTTACATTTCATAAGATGAAGCAAGCCAAAAGCATTCTAGTTCAATATATAATTGAGGTGGAAGAAAAACAAACAAACAAACAAATGAAACAGTAAAAAAGAATGAAAAAAAGCTGTAACAGGTTCTTCAGTTACAATGCCTCAAATTAAAGGAATTTACGGAAATATAAATTCCTAGAGTAAATGAAACATTCATCTATACGGCAAGACAAATTAAATCTGACTTTTACATGTACTCAAATATGAAAATGAAGAAACACGATATATGAATATCCTAACTTCATATATATTACAGAAGAAAACAAGTCAAGATAGTCTCACAAGTTTGTCTAAAGCAATCTGTATTTGGCTCAAGTACATCATTATTTTAAAGATACTTTAGATAAAATAAACAACAAAATTTGAAAACTCATCTTATTCTCTCTATTGTACTCTACTCTAAATAATGTCCAGCAGACTTCAGAAGACACTTAATACACACAAAGGTCTGGAAACTTCATCTCATAGACTGGAACAGATTGGTAATGAGCATGTCCAGCAGTAATGGTCATCGTTCCTGAAGGGCTAGGTGGAGGTCTGTGGGAGAAGAACAATCAGTATATATAATTCATAACTATATGGATTTTTTAAAATAACTTTATATACTAATAGCTGAGAAATAAGAGTAAACACGCCCTCTTCCCCCAAACCATCAGTACTTTTTCCTATTCCTGAAATTCTAATAAAATTATCATGAGGTTTTTTGGGGTACTCTGGTCTAAATTATCAACTTCACTGATGTTAGAGAACTATGAAAATGCATTTTATTACTAACAAATACCACTTACACTGCACAATGATTTGAGTGTTCAGTATCTAATTAAGGACAGACACAACAATGGCAAAATAACAAGATTCCTCAATATTACCAATATACATAGAAATAGCATAAGAATATAAGTACACTATGACTATAGGTATACTATGGCTTCTGGATATTGTCCACTATATAAAAGATTCAAAATATTAGCAAGAAAATCAAAGTCTCTGTTCTAGATGAAGACTTCTACTCTCCAGTGTACTAGTTTTGGCTGGGATAGAGTTAAATTTCTTCATAGCAGCTCGCATGGGGCTGTGTTTTGGATTTGTCGTGAAACTAGTGTTGGTAAGACAGGGATCATTTAGTTATTGCTGAGCAATGCTTACAGAGTCAAGACCTTTTCTTCTTCTCGCCCCACCCCACCAGCGAGGAGGCTGGGAGGGGACAGTCGGAACACATGACCCCAAACTGACCAAAGGGATATTGCAGACCGTATAGCGTCATGCTCAGCAACAATAACTTCAAGGGAAGAAGTAGGAAGGGAGGACATTTGGAGTTACGGCATTTGTCTTCCCAAGTAAATGTTAGGCAGGATACCTCTCTGCTTTCCTGTAAGTGGCTAAACACCTACCTGATGATGGGGAGTGGGGAAGGAATTTCTGACTTTGCTTTGTTTGTGTGCATGGCTTTTGTTTTACCTGTTACGTTGTTACCCATGTGTTTTTTTACTGTCACCCTTCCCATTCTCTTCCCCATCCCACTGAGAGGAGAGTGGCTGTGTGGGGCTGAAATGCCTACCAGAGTTAAACCATAACTTTCAGTTAAGTCAATTATTTTCTCCCTATTATACATGTTTAAGAACATGATGACATGAGTATCTGAAAGTAGTCACAATGGCTTTATAATTCATTTTTCATTCCTCACATTCTTCTTGCATAAAGCCTTACCGAATGGTGAGTTCCAGTATCTGTGCAAGTCTATCATGAAGCAAGTTTGCCTAGGAGAAAAAGAAAAAATTGCATTATTAACAACTATATATTAAACTGAGCTAAAATGACTGTACAAGACCACACTTGGTGAGCGTGTTCTGCATCATCACACAGCAAACCCAGGCAGCATTTCCTGTATCGATTTCTTTTCTCCTTGCTTGCAAGGATTCTTGAGCCTCGAAGACGTATGTCAGATTAAGTGACCCTGTCTTAGAGTGCAAGGAGTTATACAGCAAATTTTGATGTTGCAGACAGCAGTTTAACAAACCTGAAATACACTTAGTTGTTCAAAATACATAATGGGGTAAATACTGCACCAGTTATCCCAGGAGGAGTGGACAGTGAATCTGGATTTCAAAGACAGCAGGGAAAACATTAGGATGAAGAGTGTATGACATTTCCATTCCTTTTCAAATGGTTGAGAAACAATCAAAAGCACACTTTAAATAACTGGAATCTACCAACATTGATAACAGGGGACACAGTAACCAAACACAAAGAAAGCAGCTTTAGAAGTAACAGCAGCAGCGACATGATAACATAAATCACGTTCAGCCAGCACAGCCCCGTTAATGCTTATACTAATATCTCCAACACTGTATGACATTTTTCAGAAACTCACTTTGGTTTCACATTGTGCTGCAATTTCTTCAAATGGTGCTTTTTGGAACTTTTCAATCACAAGACGTCTTTTTTCTTTTTCCTGTTCTTCAAGTCCATTGTTATCTAAAAAAAAAAAAAAAGACAAATGTAATCTTTGCCTATTAAATATAAATGATATAAACCTTCAAATGTGCCCTGCAGAAGCAAACAAGAACTGTATTTGAAGTGATGCAACCATACTCAAATACGTCATTGCTTCAAACGCAAAATGCAGATGCAATTTCAGGGATCTAGTTTGTGCACCCCAGTTTTGCCCCTTTCTTATTACACACTTAATTACGAGTACATCCAGGCTTCCTTTGCTTTACTATCTGGACTCAAAATTGCACAGAGGCTCCGTTTCAGAAGAAAAGAAGTGAGTATCCTCCTTCCCAGCATCATGCAGACAGGTGGGCAGTTTTCTATCAGAATTTGGGAAAAGCAAGTTCAATTTCCATGGGCTGAGTGAACCTAGAGCCAGCCAGAATTTTCCAGCATGTAACGAATTTAAGTACCTCTTGGAAAACTGTCAGATTAAATTACTATTTAAAATGTCAGTGTCTATTGTTATAAAAACATCAATGTTTAATCCATACTAGGACAGGATTTTGGTGGACCAGACAGCAGCAATTAGTGATTACTTATAGTGATATGAAATAAGGAACCTGGATAATTCTGAGTTCTGGTAGCTCAGTCACTTGTCAGAAAAATATTCTTTTAGAAAACTGAGTGTTTCTGAAGTCCACAACATGTACCTTACAACGTATTTTTTGAATGCACTGAAGACCTAAAATTTTAATATATAAACAAATACTTAAGTTGCTTTATGAATAATAATCAACTTCAAAATCTCACATTATTTATAGCTTGGCCTATAAGGGCAAATTCAATAGATGATAGCCATTTACCCGTTTTTCATTCTGATACATTATCTTCAGAAAATGAATTCACTGAAATTATCGAGATATCATTTCAGAGATTTAGAAATAAACAACTGAAGTTTTGAATGAATTTACTAGCTGAAGAGAATCAACCGTAATATTCTGATTACATTAGCCTGGCTACACTTTTTTCTCTAGCAATTCCACAATAATCTAGAACTGTGTTGCATAAACAGAATTGAAATAAATCTTACCAATTGCTTTCTTCAAGGCTTCAAAGGTGATTTCTTCAGTATTATCAACCTAAACAAAAAGAAACAAATCCCCTCAAACCTCACATATAAGCTTCTAAAAAATCAGGAATGTGATAAACAGAGAAGGCTGAAATAGCCACTTTATAAGTTTCTAATGTCTTTATCTGGAGTTTCCATGACAGCCAACAGATCACTAATTGATATTTCTTAGCCACTGCAATTAGTGAGGAAATTTTTGTAAAATGAGACCAAGGCGAACTTTGAAAATTCTAGTCAAGACACTCTATGTCAACAATACTTTGGAAAATTACTTGAATTTTGGCAGAACACTCCTTTGAGAGTCAGTAATATGCTGTGGAATATGCCGTTCAGCCTCTGCGCCAGTTCTCAGACGGCTGTTGTAAATAACAGCAACTGCTTCCCGAGACTGGCCGAGTTACCAAGAACATGATATTAAAATAAGAGATGGCAGTGGAGGGTAGCATGGAAAACGGTTATAGATTTAGGCTATCTTCTTGTCATTATGGGCTCCAAATAATTTGGTGCTTATGTCATAAACACTGGAACTAAAGGGCTCTTCATAACAAGCCATGTCTGACGCACTAGAGAAAATGTGTTCATTTAGTGATATGAATATTCATTTGCTGATGCAAATGTACTTCATCAGGAACTGCTTGGGGCTGTAAAATTACAAAAGATGCACGAACATTTCTCCAAAGAGCTCCAGCTCATGGACCTTTGTGTTCCCATTCCTTATAGACCTGTATTAGTAAGTATATTTAAAGTGAAACTACAGTGATAGTATTTAGGGGTGTATGTTTAGAGGGCAGAACAGTGCTCACCTGAATACGACACGGTTTCTTGGCTTGGACTATCTTGCTTTAATCCATCAAAACTAACTACATGCAGCATTTCTGTTTCTCCTTGTAAACATTAACTGTTTAGAATAATCTAATATGATTTATTAGATCTTTTAAAAAGATCTTCAAGGTAGCAAAAAGTACTTTCACTCAATTCAGGCGACTCTGAATTCTTTCAATTTTTTACTTCATTGACTTGATCTACTGTAAATGGAGAAGCCAGAAGAAGAAGCTGATTCATTTTTAAATCAGTGATATTTCAGGACATGGAGCTGTAAATAATACTTCTCTAACAAATTTTACTACATTAGCATTTTATTCTCTACTTCTGAATATACAAAAGGTTCATAAACAAACAGATAAACACCCTTTGCATCAAGTATTTGTGTATATAGCTTGAGATAAAGAGTATTCAGGTTTTGAATCACCTTTCATATAATTCCTATTTGGTAAATATTATTTGTAAATTATACTCAGATTTCTAATTCACATCTGCAGTAGCTGCTGATATTAGCCAGCATTATAGTTGGTTATTAATATCACAGAAGCACTAGTTGTTTTTACAAGTGCTTTCATCTTACAGAGATAACTATGGAATAAAAAACCTTCTGAACAGGATTCACTAACAGACTTGACACAAGAAAAAACTCTGATTGTGCTGACAAAGGTATTGCTGTATACTGTAGCGTATACAGTAACAGGTATTTTATGGATAAATAGTTATCTACCTCAGCTAGTGCAGAAGTGATACCATACATCACTAATGCCAAAACTTCATTAATTAACCAGTTTATCATCTCAATCATAAAGCATTATGCTCTTCTGCTTGTAGTTTAATTCTGCTGACAGTTATGGATTATGTTAGACTTACTAATCTACACAGCAAGAGAACTAGATTTAATATCCTTGTGGACTTTTTTTTAAATTTTCCTCCTCTTGAGTTACACCATCTTACGTAATATCACTTGGTAGTGCTAACGTAATGGTTGGACGTGATGATCTTAAGTGTCTTTTCCAACCTAAGTGATTCCATGATGGATATATTGCAAGAGCGCCATAGTGGACCTTCACCATGACCAAGACTTTTGTCCTAGTTTATCAGTTGCTCATGATATAGGCATTAAGGTTCAGTCAGTAAACCAGAAAATACTGGGCTTCCCTTTGCATTTTAAACAAACACTGTAAAGTAGTTAAATGAGGACGACTTTGTTTCATGTGTTTCTGCCTAATAAAATTCTTGTTTTTAAGTGAGACAAACCGTAATTCATCATCCAAGACACTGCAGCACATTAAACTGAGAGCCCACACAAAGATTTATCTACAACTCTTCAAAAATGTCTGCATATCACTGCTTAACATAACATCAGCGTAATTGTTTGAAATCTGAGATGAAAACTTCTCTCAATTAATTCTACTTTCAAGAGAGATGTTCAATCACCTATAATACATGATTTTTAAAAAGGATACTAAAGACAAACACTCCCATTCCTATTAGGAGCATTTACTTTCTTCGCAAAGCTAAAGATTGTGACAATTTGGTTTATTTTTCAAACATTTTTTTCTTTGTTCCCTTAAACTTTTACCTAGTTTACCTGTATCCTTGCTAAAGCACAATAACAAGAAGTGAACACAAAATACCATTTGAAGTATCACCAGCACAAAGCAGAAAGGAATAATAATGATGCAAAACACAATCTCATAAATCAGTAAGTTCTAAAATTAAGCTTTCTCCTTTGCAATAGCTTAATATTTCATTTTTTTAGATAATATTCAACGTGACTTTATCTGTTTCATGTCCCCAGCTGGTTTGTGCACAGGGATGCTAAAGGCAGAATTCATTCGCAGGTACAAGCATCTCAATTTCAACAGCTAATCTCCACTGCAGCCAGAAGAAATCTGGTTAATGAAAATCAGCAGAACCTTGAAAAAGATTCAGCAGAAATAGAAATTTATTTTAAGAAACACTTCAAATGAAGTGTCAAAAGATGTGGAATAATTTTAATTATAATGCGCTACTCCAAAGGGATAATTAGCTACGTCTCCATATGCTACATATGAACTTTTTGTTGCTACCTTATCCTTAGTGTGACTTTAAACCACTGTGCACTAAACTCTTCTGGAAGGGAAGAGTGACACTGTAACACCAGGGTGGTACGTAACCTGCCTAGTCTTTACCTGTCCCTCTCAAACACAGCAGGTCTCCCACTAGTCTTTTATCTGTCAGCCCCACATTGATGAACGAGACTCTCACATACTTCAAATGATTCAGGAATTTATTTGATCCCTCAAAATTTCAAGAAAATATTTTAGAATATTTACTTATAAAATATTAGTTATTAGGTACATGTATGCATTTCTGCCCCATACTCTGCAGTACTATCTGTGAAAACTATAGTGACAAAATACTCCACATTTTGATACCACAAGATTCAGTATCAGTGTCTTTGACAAGACATTTCTACTAACACAGGAGTTTAAAAAAAAAATCCAAGCCTCAAAGCATTTAACATTCCAGTAACAATTAGATATTAGACTTTCTGGGAAAACTTCACTAGCATCGCCTCCATGCTGCTGCTGCTTTAAAATACCCTGTGATTTTCATACCTTATCATCTGTGTTGTTGCCAGGCAGAATATCAACCTGAATAGATACTGTGTCCACAATGCTCTTCCTCCTGGAGAGTCTGTCCTCATCTAGAAGAAACAGAACTTATCTCGCTTTCTGTGTAACAGCTGAAACATGATCCATCAAATTCCTGCACATCAGATGCAGATTTGTTTCTGCATGCCTGTTTAACCCAAGATAATCTATTTTATCATTTGGATCGTTGCAAAAAATGATGAGTTGCTGCTTTAAATTATTAAATATCAAGGAAAATAACCTTTTTATCATCTCTTCTCCTTCTCATCCCAAATCTTGGCAATCATCCCTTGAAAGCCCAGAATTTTCAAAAAATTAAATGAGATCTTACTCAAATGCATAATAACTAACACAGCACATGATGATATATTGCTGCAGAGTAACTCACAAAAGTTTACAGAATTGAACTTAAGTTTTTTGGTTGTGAAATTGAAACACTAAGGTCTTAATCTGAAGGTATTTGGAAACAGAAATGGGCTTACTGGAAGATGACTCACTGACAGAAAAGAAATACAGATTATTGAATGGAAATGAACAACAGTCTTTCCTTATTCTTGTTGCTACAAGTACCATATTCAGCGAGTCTAAAAATCGACATGGTAAAATAAAAATATCTCCATTCCTAACTTCCTAAAAACATTCTGGTAAATACAGCTGGCCTAAAAAGTTGTCAGGATAAGACCAACTGTGCTAATACTAAAAGAAGCACAACAATTTCAGCAATGCATAAGCAGATTATGATCAAATGATCCATCAGCTGATGGATTTTCCTTTTGTGACTGCACTCCTGAGATAATACACCAATAATCTTTTCTCATTTTTGACATTTAACATGTTAGTACAAAAGTTCAACAAACAATAAGAATACCTTTACAATTCTATCATGAGGAACCTCCAACAAATGGAGACTTGAGCAGCCTGAGTTCCCTATATTTCATTTCGGAAACCAAGAACTGCAATATCATGTTTCAGATTTTAGCCAAAATCAAGCCACTTGGATCTGGCCTTTATTATTTGATGACCTGCACAGCACACGGTTAGAAGCACCTACAGGCACTTGATACCATAAGGAGAACAACTATAAAACTCCCTCCCAACAAAGCGGTTTATGTCGGTTCTCCTGAAAGCTTTGCTTAAACCACTTCTAGCAAAGCACTTTTGTAGTGCAAATCTTGAGCATTAACAAGGAGAATTCATTCCAGCGGAGCTGAATGCACCCAGCTTTTAAAAATCAAGAAATAACTTTTCAGAAGTCATGTAAATGAAATGCCATTTTAAGATCAGGAGGCAGTGGAAGAACAAGATTAGCAAAAACCACCTGAATTCTAGCCATCTTTGCCAGGTTCTCAGGGATCCTGAGCATTTCAAGTGGCATTTTGAAGGATTTACTTAATTTTTAAGCCCCCACGGCTCACTGGTACGTGACCCAATACACATAGAGTCCGAGGAAAGCGCCTTAGCCCTCAAGAGCAAACACAAGAGAAAACTACATCTTTGCTGCCATCTTGCTGCTCTCTCTGTAACTGACAGGCAGACACCACAAGATACTTTCCTCCATAGAATTCATTCTCGTAATGGATGCCTCAAGATACTTGTCTAATAAAAAAATGCCCATTCCTCTCTAATTTCACCACAATAAATGGGGAAAAAATCGGAAAATTGCCATTTTTTTCTTGCTATATGATATAAAGCTTGCCTACACACACAAAGAAACCAAGAGGCAGTGGTGCAGCCCCAATAACCACTGCCTGGACCCTGCCAGGGCTGTCCCAGGAGCTCTGGCCCCATGGTCCCGGGGGTGGCACCCACCCCATGGGACAATGGGATCAGCTCCGTGGGCCACCTTGCTGACCGAGGCAGGATCTGTGACTGGGGTGTGGGACACATTGTGAGATGCAGGGGAACAGCACCTTGGGATTGCACAGGGTTTAGCACAGGATGTTTACAGGGGAGGAAGCAGGGTGAGGAAAAGGAGGTTTGAGACGGTTTGAGAAGAAGCAACCTGGTGTGGTGGGAGGTGTGACCCTGCCCATGGCAGGGGTTGGAACTAGATGATCTTTAAAGGTCCCTTCCAACTCAAACCATTCTATGATTCTATGAAAACAGAGGGGTAAGGGGATAAAGGCTTCAGTCGCATGTAAATTGGTCGCTGATCAGTACATGCATCTGGCCATGGCCTGAGTCTCATCAGTGCAGCCTGTCCCAACTTCTGATTAAATCCCATTTTCCTGGATGAAGGGCTCTGTCATTTGTGCAGGTGTGTGCATGAGGGTCTGAGTGTAGCAACTGCAGCCAGATCACACGTCGGCAAGCCTGTGTGTCTGACGCACGGCATCAGGAGTGTGATCACCAGGCGTGTGATCAAGCTGGACCTCCCTGCGGAGGAGGCACCTGGAGAGACCAGGAGGCCCCAGCCAACTGTCAGAAAGACCAAGGAGCCTGGGGAAAGGGCTTTGACTGAGACAGAATCACAGAATGTTCGGGGTTGGAAGGGACCTCTGGAGATCATCTAGTCCAGCCCTCCTGCCAGAGCAGGATCACCTAGGGCAGGTGGCACAGGTTTTGAATGTTTCCGGAGATGGAGACTCCACCACCTCTCTGGGCAGCCTGTTCCAGTGCTCTGCCACACTCAAAGTAAGGAAGTTCTTCCTCATGTTCAGATGGAACTTCCTATGTTCCAATCTGTGTCCATTACCTCTTCTCCTGTCACTGGGCACCACTGAGAAAAGACTGGCCCCATCCTTCTGACATCCACCCTTTAAGTATTTATAAGCATGGATAAGATCCCCCTCAGTCTTCTCCAGACTAAAAAACCCAAAGTCCCTCAGCTTTTCCTCCTAAGAGAGATGTTCTAGTCCCCTAATCATCTTCGTAGCCCTTTGCTGCACCCTCTGCAGCCGTTCCCCGTCCTTCTTGAACTGAAGGGCCCAGAACTGGACACAGCACTCCACATGTGGCCTCACCAGGGCAGAGAAGAGGGGGAGGATGACCTCCCTCGACCTGTTGGTCATACTCGATGCACCCCAGGATGCCATTGGCCTTCTTGGCCACCAGGGCACAGTGCTGGCTCATGCGTCACTGTGCACAAGGGGGATCTGCACCAGCAGCTCGACTGGGGCTGTGGGCCTTGGGGATGCACATGCTCAGGTGCCCGAGACTGTGGACTGGGAACCAGGAGACAGGGGGTGGGCAGAGATTGTCTGAGCTCAGCTACTGGGGGATGCACACAGAACATACACGTGTATATGTGTCCCACTAACAGACCTCTATCCTGACCAGCCAGAGGAAAGTTAATTATTGTTCTGTAAACAGTTGAGAGCTTCTTCCAACTTTCTACCAAGTTCCCGTAATGTAACTTGAAGGGGTAATTAGTACTGTCACAAAAATGACAGCTATAACCCTACTACCTGCTCAGGAAACAAGATAGAAGCTCCCACATCATAGAGTTCCAAATAAAGAGTAAACACAAAGGCAAACCTTGCAGGAGATAACATTGCTACAGGCATATCGAAGAAATAAAAAAAAAAGCAGAAGGAAACACTAAATACACTAAGTACAACACAATTTCCGGCCTAACGGCCTTCTAAAAGCAATTTTTTTTATTGTGCACACCCTAGGGCACATCACATCTAGCAGGAGAGCAGGCTGACCTACAGCTCATTTTTACCTTTTGACTTGTGTCTGCATTTATGAGGTTTTTTCCCTGATGGAAATAGAGCTAAATTTAAAAAAAAATATGTACAGACAAAAAATTATTACATTTACATTTAAACTATCAGCTTCCCCCCTCTTCCCCTTAGTAAGAAAGAGAACAAGGTACAAAGTTGTAAACGGGAATGTTTTTCAAACTGGTAAGAAGTATCAAAAGCTGAAACAGAGACAAGATGATTTGATGTCTGTTAAGTCATTGTTAAGCATTATAGCACTGATATTCAGAAACACTAGAAATAATTAGGATAAAATCGCTACTGGCTTTTTGGGCTCAATCATCACTTTCACAGGAATATACAAAAAATGGATTAATCTTTTACTAAAATTAAAGATGTATTTTGAAACACTGTATTCTAGCATTACAATAGCAAAAATGAAACATTTAATTGAAGTAAAAAATAAGAAATCTCAGAACTCCAATATATTCACTTTGGTCCTGGTTCAGTTAAATGAAAACCTTGGAAGCTCAAAATTCCACAGGATCAGAGATTAATGATCCTAATTAGATATGGTAACAGCCATGGTACTGGTTTTGGTTACTGCTCTTTACAAAAAGATCACAGAAAACTCCATCGGATTCACATGCATTAAGATTTACCATTAAATAGGGATATTTATCATCACCTGAAGAGGTAGTTCATCACATAGCTGTATCACTTAACCTGGATGTCAGAATTTACATATCTTCCTGTGCAGGAATGCATTCTTATCAAGGTATCCATGAAAACCCTACCAAGGTGATTTGGGTACAAATATATCTTAATTTCTAGAAGAGGCTTAACATAAATTTCAAACCAAGATATCCTTCTCATTCCATTCTCATTCACTCAAAGACAGTAAAAATTTCAAAACATAACATTTCCTTACTAGCTATCTACATTGTCTGCCATCACTATAATATAATGTTAACTGGGGGTTTTTTTTCTGATGTCAGAAGAAATAATTGGTCAAGTATAGCAACTTTTTCCTTTGTAGAAGACAACCAGCACCAGAAAGCACGGACATTGTGGCTGTGTCAGAATGTATCACTGGTTTTGCTGCTAGCACTTGGGACAAAACCCCATCTTGCTGTTCTGGATAATGCATTCCCTGCCACTGCAGGTATCCAAAGGAGCTTATTGAAGAAGAGGCAGCAATGTCTCTGAATCACCTTGCAAGTGTGACAGATCTGGCATTCACTGTCCGTATGTAGCATGTTTATTTCTACACATGAAATACAAAACACAGAAATCACATTTTCCTGCTAGGCACTTTTATTTCACCAAAAGGGGACACCTCAGAATGGGATGTCTCTTAGTTTATTACAATAGCGAACAGTTATGCAGAGCCACGGAAAACATATGGTTAATAAAACAAATTCTTCAAACATTTTTTTCCCATAAACTGCCCAATCAGCTGTTGAAAATGTATTAAAAGATGAAAACACACAATGTCACATGCTAGCTTGTCATTCACACACCATTTGTGTACCCTGGGCAGCATGAACTCTCACAAATCTTGCCCAGGCACACTTTATTTTCATCATGTTACCTGATGCTAAGCTAGGTATCTAATGGAGGAAAACATAACATTTTGGATTAAATTAACCTCTGCTCACTAAGAATTTGACTAAGGCCAATAACTCAAGTCAGCAAAAGGTGACACTGCAAAAGGATGGAATACATTCCATCCAGCGTTTACATAAAAAGGACAAAATATGCTGATTTGTACAATCCTTCCCCATCTGCTAACTCAAGTTAATACAGAAAAGAAGTAATAATCACTACTGTCTTCTTAGACATTCTTTTGAAAGCAGAGATCTAACTAAAAAAAGCTGAAGTGCGTTCAAGAATTTTCTGCCCCACTTTCTGAAATTAAGGGAAAATCCTAAAAGGACGAAGCAAAATTTTACGAGGATTAATTTTTGTTGCCACGTAGTCACGTTACAGTTCACTGGCACACAATGCATTAAGAGATCATTCTTGATGACTTGTACTTAGTAGTTTTGCCACTAATCACCACTTACCTGTTACCTGGGGTACGTATGGAACTGACAATCTTTCCACACTGTATCCACTGCCTCCTAATGATTCCACAATCTTGTTCGTCAGGAAAAATAAATTTTTTTCATCCTTCTCTAGGGATTTTGGAAGACTGCCAAAATACATATTTGAAGTTACTATCTAACAAGAGAGATTTGCTCATTAAGTAAAATAGTTCCCCAAAGCAAACAAAAAGGGTCAATGGTAATGACCTGATGGAAATACCATTTCCTCATTTTTTTAAGAATTAGTACATGCCCCAATATACACCTCTGCAGTATATTAAATTACCTTAACTCTTCTTGGTTATCTGAAATGTATGTTCCTCACCTATTCTGCCACCCCTTGAGAGAAGATGGTCTCTCAGGACTTATTTTAGAGAGTCCAATAAAGAGCCACTGAAGTGGATTAAGGGATTGAAGCATCTCTCCAGTGAAGAAAGAGAGGGAGCTGAGACAATTCAGCATGGAGGAAAGAAGGTGGAACTTACTGATGTGTAAAACTACCTTAACGGAGGGAGGGAGGGTTGGAAAGACAATAGAGCCAGGTTCTCTTCAGTAGTGCCCAGTGATGGGACCAGAGGCAACGGGCACAGACCGAAACACAGAAGGTTCCCTCTGAACATTAGGAAATACTATTTTACTCTGAGAGTGACTAAACACTGGCCCAGGTTGCCCTGAAATATTGTGGAGTCTCCATACTTGGAGATATTCCAAATCCAAATGGATGTGGTCCTGCTCTAGGTGACCCTGCTTGAGCAAGGGTGTTGGAAAGATGATCTCCGGAGGTCCTTTCCAACCTCGTCCATTCTGTCACTCAGTGACCATACATTTTGCTGTTTTAGCACTTAACCAACCACCATATTGTGCAGATGTGTCTCTGACTACAACATAAAGTGTCTGAAAACCACATTTTTTCATTTATGCATATATGCTTTTAATGCTTGGTTTTCTTCTGCCTATCCGGTACGTTATTAAATCTTTACATTATTTTCACATATGCAACATATTTCAGTGATGTGTTGTTTTTAATACTAAAACAGGTACTTCACTGTTCAATAATTCATATTCTATACTGACTTACTTGCACTTGTCTTTGAAAATTGTTTCTGGTAGGAAATAAGATGCTTCCACACTTCTCGTTTCGATGACCTGAAAAACACCCACAAGACAAACACTACAAATGGAGCAGTTCCATCGCTATTTCCTCCAATGATCAAGTTGCTTAAAGAGGTTCTATTGTAGACTACCAATCCTTCAATAACATCTACCTCAGCACTAATGAGGCATTAGAATTTCTTTTATCCAGAGAACAGAGCTTGTGGTACTCACCCTTCAGACTAAAAATACAGTTCTCATGGTCTTGTGCATGTCAGTACTATTTTACCAAAGCCAGTGTGGCTGTGAAGTCTTATACCAGATGGGAATTTAGCCCTTTATATGGCACCATAAACAAAATAAAAATGCTGTACCTTGAGAGAGTAATATTCTGTGCTTAACCGTAAGAGTCAGCAAGTAATGCCACTGGAGACCAAAGACAAATAGCAATGTTGGTAGACACAAATATAGAAGATCAACATCACAAGCAATTACTGGACAGAAGTTATTTACCAGTTTTACAACAGACTGGGTACTGTTCTAAATTACTTAGATTACTTAATTATGTGTTACCTTGCTGACATGTTGACAAAAGGCAGGAACTGCAATCATCTGACTCAGAAAATTTAGATATGCTGCAACCAATGCCATGACACCACAGCGATTAAACATTGGCAGACTATCCTCATTGATGATGGCAATGTCCTGAAATACAGCGTATAGCATTATATTCTCCAAAGTTAACAGACTGTCCCGAATACACAGAAGTCAAAATTAGGAATATTAACACCAGCTGATAAATGAGGACTATCTGGTATTACTTAACATTTAATACCTCTCACCTTAAAAATCCTAGTCTTTTAGCTCACTCCTGAACTAGGTATATATTTATCTGAAATTAGAGAGCTTGAAAGATCCAACCTCTACGAAGAGAAACAAATATACTTAAATAGACTAAAGCTAGAGATGGATTGGTTCAGATTGGAAGTTAGGAAAAAGCTCTTCCCCATGAGGGTGGTGAGACACTGGCACAGGCTGCCCAGAGAGGGGGTGGAAGCCCCATCCCTGGAAGTTTTTAAGGCCAGGCTGGATGGGGCTCTGGGCAGCCTGATCTAGTGGGGATGTCCCTGCCCCATGGCAGCAGGGGTTGGAACTAGATGATCTTTAAGGTCCCTTCCAACCCTGACAATTCTGTGATTCTAACTCAAACATCTGTTTCTCAGAAAGAGCAGACGGGTTAATGACTGGCTGTCTCTTGTTCTTATCACCTGGTGATCATAATTTTTTTTCAGAAAAACTAGAAACAGTAGCTTAAAAATAAAAACCATTCTTGTGAATCACACATACTGTACCATAATGGGAGTTATTTAATGCTTATTAGCATTTCTATGTTTATTCAGATTGTATTACTTTTTTTTTAGTAAAACTCTTAACATCATTTTCATCAAGTAAGGATTTGGTTCAGAGACATTTTAAAATGAAGGATGCACTCTGCATTTCAGCAGTTTCATAGCGCAGCTGCACACTGTGGAATAAAGCTAATGGCAGAGAGTGAACTGGGTATACAGGACACAATTTCATCACATTTCCATGGCACAAGCTAGCATTTTTTCTTTTTTTGAATGCTTTAATTTCAACACAGATAAACCTATCAAGTTATATAGTTTCACTGAGGACTGTATGCAAGTATGCAATAATGTCTGATCCTGTAAAGGAAATATTAAGACGTAAAGTCTGTCAACACACTAACTGAATTTTACTCTAAGGTAAAATTAAATAGGCTGGTTTGACAAATATTCCCAACCAATCAATTAACCAAAAGCTTTCTTCCAAGGTGAAGAACAACGACACAAGGTCTCAAGGTTGTAAGAACACCTTGTCAATCTGCTAATGAATATATTGGTGATTCTAGGGAATGTTTCAACAAAGCTCTACATCTGCTGTGTTTCCTGAAGAGAACATGCTATCAAAGTTTGTAAAAAATCCGATTGGTTGAAGCTTCCCTATTAAAAAGTGGTATGCACAAAGGGCACTTCCTTAATGTAACTGATCTAATTTGGACTGAACAATGTGACTTCCAATTTGGAGACAAACATGCAAATGAAAATGTTATCCACATCTCCAATTACAAATATAAATTATCAAGCAACAAATCCAACACTGATTCAGACTCTCACCTGCAAGGCAATAGCTAATCGAATGAGGTCAATAACCACTTCTTCATTGGCTAGTTCAATTGTGATAAGAGCTAGAGATGTAAACAGGAGTTCAAAATTTTTTTGGACGTTGTCTTCCTCTTTGCAGCCTAAGTAGATGTGTCTGTACAACTGCTGACCATGCTATAAAAGACAAAAGAGGGAAAATGAGTATCAAAATCACAGGATAATTTAGGGTGGAAGGGATAAAGGTCCTCTACTCCAACTTCCAACTTCAAGAAGGGCCAAATCTGATGTTACATCATTTTATATAGAAAATTAAAAAAATAAAGAAGGATAAACCACATGTATACACATAAGACATACACACGTATACACACAGACAAACCAAGTACATGATTACTCAAGACCATCAGTTTATAGAAGCGGCTTCTTTATAAATACAGTGCTGTTCCATTTTATGGAGAAGTGTACAGATAGGGACAAGGATGCAGAGAACTGCACTGTGTGTCAGACACAGGCATTCACTTCCTACTGAATATATATATATCCAGAAATAAAAAAGCCGATTTATGAAACGGAGAAAACAAAGAGTAGATCTTGAAACATTCTCAAGAATGTTCAAGTAACTGAGGAGCTTCAAGGGTTATCCTTGTGAAGACTCAGACTTGTTCATTAAGAAAGTCTCCCTGAATAGCAAATGGAAAAAATATTCTTCTAGAGGATGTTTCAGAAGATGAGTGGGGCTTTATCACCAGTGTGTGGAGGGAGGCTCTAGATCTAGTGAAGAACATCAATTATCTAAGGAAAGACCCTCAACTTCAAAAGTGTCTTTTCTTTCCTCAAAACACTGTGTTTAACAAAATCTTCGTAAAGAAACTATTATCTCAACACACAAAAAAAGAAAAAAAGGGCAGGATAAGAAGCAGGTTTTGCATGCAACACACAACTCAGCGTCACCCCAGCATTCTTAATGCAGTCTTAATTTAGTCTTAATTTGAATCAAAATCACTTGATAGTGATCTTTGCAACAGAGTTGTAGAAGAAAAGCAACGTAACTCATTCAGTTAATTTATCTTCCTTCTAGATAGAAAAGGGAACTTTTTCTTTCTATTACCTTTTTCATGAAGCTCACGTCTTGCCTTGAAATTTTGTCTCGTTTTATCTTTAGATCTGAAACATCTGGTATTATTCTACAAAGGGAATAAAAATGTTGGTTTAGCAAAAAGAAGTTGAAAGGGTAGAGGATGTGAAATATATGAACTTTCCAAACAAATCTTGAAGTAACTTCCATTTTAATTATATCCATGTTTAACAATGACATTCAAAATTCAGATGAACAGAAAGAACCATAAACAGAATTATGACAATCACGTATTACTTTTTTCTCTACCTAAAATACCACATTCTGTCTTCCACAGTTAACCAGCAGATATTTGGAATTGTCATTTAAGGTACCATGTTCTGAGGCTCACCTGTAAAATTCTTGCCATCAATAAATGGAGCACTGTGCATTTATGAAAACAGTGCATTACCATTTCAAAATAGGGAAAATGTTTAAAACTCAACAGTGCTTATCATTCAGATATTAAACTAGAATTTCAAGCAGGGCAAAACAAACAAAATGAACTACCGTATCCCTCTGAGCTTTGCTCTGTTGTCGTGCCGATCAATAAGATTATGCAGGACTTCCAAGACCAGCTGCCTCAGCTCAGAGTCCTCCATGAGTGATGGAGACAGTAACGGGTCCAGAAAAGGGGGAGGAAGCGCATTCGTTATCGTTGTCGCTTTGTATCCTGAAGTCACCTGTTCATTGTTGGAAGTAAAATTAATGTGTGTCATTACTGCACTGTAAGAATTATTTGCAGCTGTCACTCTGCGTGAGAGAGTCCAGTGCAGCCCCAAAGATGATGAAGGGAATGGAACATCTCCCTTCTGAGGAAAGGCTGAAGGAGCTGGGTCTCTCTAGCTTGGAGAAGACGGGGCTGAGGGGTGACCTCATTAATGTTTATAAATATGTAAAGGGAGAGTGTCAGGAGGACGCAGCCAGGCTCTTCTCAGGGATGTCCAGTGACAGGACAAGGGGCAATGGGTGCAAGTTGGAGCACAGGAGGTTCCACAAAAACAAGGGGAAAAGGTTTTTCCCTGTGAGGGTGACAGAGCCCTAGAACAGGCTGCCCAGGGAGGTTGTGGAGTCTCCTTCTCTGGAGACTTTCAAAATCCGTCTGGACGCGTTCCTGTGTGACCTACTGTAGGTGACCCTGCTGGACAAGGGGAGATGGATTTAAGTTGTGCCAGGGGAGGTTCAGATTAGGTATCAGGATAAATTTCTTTACTGAGAGGGTTGTCAGCCTTTGGAACAGGCTGCCCAGGGAGGTGGCTGAGTCACTGTCACTGGGGGTGTTTAAGAGAAGGGTTGATGTTGTGTTGAGGGACATGGTTTAATGGTGTTGATAGGGCTCGGAAAAGTTTGGACTCAATGATGTTGAAGGTCTGTTCCAGTCGAAAATGTTCTATGATTCTATGGTTCTAAGGCCTTTTCTGCTCCTCACCCCAGCAGTGAGGAGGCTGGGGGTGCACAAGCAGTTGGGAAGGGAAAGCCTACCCGAGCGACGTTCCAGACCGCATGGCGTCACGCACAGCAATAAAACATGAGGCAGTTTGCACAGGGTCTGGCTTTGCAAGGGGTATCAGTTAGCTGGTGGTGAGCAACTGGGTTTTTTGTTTTGAGGGTGGAGGTTTTAATTGATTTAGGTTCTTTTTTATCATTTGTTTTTGTTTTTCCTTAGTTTTGCTTTTCTTTGTTTCCTTTTTTACTTAGTAAACTGTCTTCATGTCAATTCACTTCTCTCACTTGTACCCTTCAGTTTCTCTCCCCCACCCCAGCAGTGAAGAATAAGCAAGGGACTGGGTGGTGCTTTGCTGCTTGCTCAGTTAAACCACAACACATGAACAAGTTTTATTCCTGCAGCATAACTGAAAGGAAACTGGTTGGAAGAGGAGCATGAGGTTACAAGAAGGTCTATAACCAATCATTCTGACAATGAAAAATTACTAATATTATAGGCAATAAGGCTGAAAATGAAAATGCCTACTTTTAATTAAATGCCAGGTTTTAATTGCCAAGATGTCTGCCTGTGTGTATGCAAGACAATGGACTAATTATGCTATGAAGAATTATTCTTTTTTAAAGAATACATGATGTACATGAAATAGGGAAGATTCTGTAGATTTTAGTTCTTTATCATGTGTGCAGACTACACCTTATATACCACAACAAAAGCTTTGCTCTGATCACAAATTCCTTCCCATGTTTTTCCCCAATATTTACCAATATCTGAGCAATTCATTAAGCATCAAAATATTCAGTTTCACGTCTTTGCGCCACGATGGGATTTTACTTCATTATTCTAAATGAGGATCCAATCCAAAATTCAATGTCAAAAATATTAAATTCCTTCCATGTGCACAATCTGAATCACTTAAAGCACACTTACAGACGATGCGGCACCCTGAATAATTAGAACAATTCTTAGCAACTTAAACGGAAAATTTTTAAGACAAGTGAGATAAATATTGTCAAGAACAGTTTAGGCATAGCTGAGTCTATCTTTAATGAAGACAATGTGCAAAATGACCCTCTGAGGTCCTAACACATTTTTTATCCTTAAATTGCAACTGTGAATACTCAGCTCTCCTGCAAGCCAGAATCTAGGATTTCATATTCTGACAAGTGAAAAATAGCGTAACTGATTTGTCTAACACCACACAAGTTTCATGTCAAAGCAGGGACAGAAACACATTTTCCAGGAAAGCATTCTTCTGCTTTAGTCATGAAATAATTCTTTATGCTACTTCCCCTACTTTAGTCGCTACACAGCTTTCAGCTTCTGCAACAAAATAGGCCAGGATTCTATAGCTCTACTACCCACTTGCGATTCCTACCATCAGGATGTATTTCCAGAAATATTCTTTGAAGGTTTACGGATAAAAAATGTATTTGTGATAAAATATCTAATCATACCTTACAATAAACTTGTAAAATACTGGGAAGAAAGGAATACTTGTACCTGGGGCTCTAAGGGCTTGGAGACAGGCATCCATTCCTACAGTTTTAACAGCATTAGCCATTCTACTAATTATGCCTTTTCCGGTTTCAGAGACAAAAGTGATCTCACTTTGATGTAGTCAGTCTTGCGGGCAGAACTTAACTCAGCCTGGCAGAACTTAACTATGATGTTCTTTTAGATCTGCAGATCCAATTATAACCGATGTCACTTATAGTGCTCTAAGAGATGGAGGAGTATTTCTTGAGCTACTTGTAATATCGGTTGTGAAAACACCATCAGAATTTTACCCAGTAGAACTACAGATCTATGTACTATGAAGGTATGTTTAATTTCATAATACAGTGTTGTAATACTGTATTTATATGCATAAACATATACATATCATGAAACACTGTGTGCTTATAATATACTGAACACAGAAGGCTTACCATAAGTAAAGATCTCAATAACATGATTTGAATCCTCCTAGTTCCCAAATCTCTGCAATTGGAAAAAAGGTAAAAATTAGTTTCTCTGCATATCTTCAAAATATTCTACTTCAGATGTCATTCTAACAACTGCGGTTTTTGAAAAGTGGATATGGTAGTCTTGGAAGGGATGGTCCATCACCACAAATACAGGGCAAATATTGCCAAACGAGGTGCAATAATGTAATGTTTTTGAAAGGGACATTTATACAAAGGTTTAAGAAATGAAGCACATATAATTGAAAAAACAGTTTTATATGTGAAGCAGATCTAAATCTTCACATTTCATTCAGAAATCTCTTTAACTAAAATGTTCAACTGCTACATGCTTGACTCGGTTTTCACAAGCATCAGCACTCAGAATTTTCTTCTGAATTAAAATGTAATTGAGTCTTTTAAGAAACTAGGACACTTCTTGTTTAAGTCAGACTCCAAATAAGACTGAAAAAAAAGTTATTTGCCAAGTCAGCAGGAGAAGCTGAAAGAACCTTCAGTTTAAAGATCGCAGGAAAGTACAGGGACCATTTAATCTGTTCTTCATCTGTTCTAATTTTCCATCTGCTGGCACTAAAAGTTAAATATCTATTTGTATACAGTCACATATGCACTGTTTTTGCACGATCTTACAAGATAAATGTGCACCTGGAATAAATTGCTTCATTCAAAGAGGTCCTTTCAAGAAAGTAAAAAAGGTAAAAACCCTTTTATCCAGCAAAGAGCTAAAGAAAGAGCAAGGCTCTTCACAAAACTTGGCCCCTACGTAACAGCGGAAAGTTCTGCCTTCACAGGCTCTCAGCCTGGCTATGTCCAGTTGGCAATATTATTCAAAAGCCTTGTGTAGCAGAGACGAAAATTTCACGTAAGTAATGCAGGACAGTATCAGCAGCCAAAAGGCCTGATTTATGCAGAATGACATATGTGCTTCATACTGACACACTACTCAACCCCACGTCTACACAGAATCCCATAAAGGAAAACTGGATAGTTAAAAACCAAACAAACAAGAAAAAGACTCCACACTGACCAGTAATCCAAGTACAGAATTCTAAATGGATTCGTATTTCAAATACCTTCTTAATGAGCGATAACTGCCTGGCATGGATAGATTTCTATCTTCCATGGAATGGTGTCCCATACTGCCAGGCTACAATACTATATGAAAATCTACTAAGAAGCCAGGAGAATGACAAGGACTTCCTACCTGGGATCAGACATATGTGGTACACAGTATCCATGCATACCTGGAAAGAATAGCTGCAACCTTGTCAGTGACTATCTCCATACTGAGTAAAAGCAGTTTTTAAACATAATTAGTCATTATACAAGGGAAAATGTTATGTCAGCATATGGCTTTTTTTTTTCTAAATTATAGATTTATTACAGGAGCCGGTTCACCTATAGCTTTTCCTATTTCTAAATAAATAGGGAAAAACTAAACCAAAACAAATTCAGAAGAATTTGCAGTATTTCTTAATCTGAAGTCAGCTTGTACAAAATGAAGAAAAATGAAAAATATTTGTAAATTATTCAGCTATTTGAAAAAATGTAGTCATAGTTCAATCTTCCTCATTCACAATACACATTTAAGAAGTTATGGAATTAACCACCATTAGGCAGATAATTTCAGAAACCTCTGTAGTGAGGCAGAGAGAATAAATGCTTTAGTGCAAAAAAAAGCTGCATTCCAATCAGATATTTTCTATCAGTAACACGTGCTTGTCTTGATTCTGCACAGCATTTAATGTAGCCCCTAATGAGTGAGAATCTGCATTTCAGTTTTTCTCATGTTTTTCACTTCTTAATTTATCACAATTCTAAAATATAAATCTTTATTTAGAAAGTAAAGAAAAAGTAGGATATACAAACCCAAGGTGAGTGGTATCCAGTGATTGTGAGGTTGTCCCCAGAACAGGTACTTTTCCCATAATGAACATCATGATCTCTGATCTCTGGTAATCTGGGAGATTGCTTCCAAAAAATCCTAAATAAAAATGGAATGAAATCACAGAATAAAAGATATATAAGGTCCTTCTCTTTGTAAGAAAAGCCTTGTAAATACAAGTCAAATAGATGAAGAGCTGTTTACAAGGTTAAAACAGATCAAGAAGCAGACTCATGTTGATTTCTGCTGAATGGCTTTGCAGTCTTTTCATGACACTGGCTTTCTTCTTAGGATCCTAAAACTTCCTAATTTTATCCTCCTTTAAACATACTGTTTAAAATTAAACATGTGACATCGGCTAATTTTTAACTACTGAGGAACTGGAACTGTTTCTCATGGAACACGTTGTTTTTACTTTTGTCTGTTCTTAAGTCACCATTAAATATTGCATGGGAACAGAAAGTACTATACGACCGCTACGTCGAGACTGCTGAGGCAAGAGGCTCTAGTGCTGGCACAAGCAGCTGCATCAGGGCGTATGCGTGGGGTTCCCAAACTGGGGGAATCTCCGGGGAGTGGAGACACCTGTCTGGCACCTCATGTGACATCTGACAAGACCTGTGTAGGGGCAGGAGTAACAGAAACAAGCCCCAAAAATAAGGCCCTGGGGAGTGCTAGAAACCAGAAGTGGCACGGCAGCTGGTGTGCCAGGAAGGCACAGCTCTGCCAGCTCAGCCAGGAAGCAATGGCATCACCCAGCGAAGGCCACGGCCTCTCTGAGCTCTGCACCCACCACCACTGATGCAGCTGCCCAGGCAGAGCTCTGGGGAGAACCCGCTCCCACCCGGTGTCCAGGTGCAGGGTGAGCCCTGCTCTCGCCCAGCGCCGGCCACCCGCATGAGCGGAGCTGTGGGAGATGTGCCCAGGGGGAGGAACTCTGTTCAGCGGGATGAGGTGAGGAGGCTGAGGAGTATCAAGGGGTCTGAGAGGGAGACAGTGTACTGGAACCACATCCCACCTTCCTGGGACAGGTCTGTCACACAGACAGGACACATGATATGGAGGATTCTCGATCCTCTCTCAGGCAGAATGGGGTGACTGAAGGGACAGGGGACAACGGTGACAAGCTCCTGTCCAGCACAGCAAGCACATCTCCCCCACACTCCAGGCACCCTCACACAAAAGGTATGAGGCTCTGCAAGTGGAACCCAACAGTGACAAGGACGAAGGCTCATCCAGCTTGGAGGTGTCACTGACATCAGCCTATGTCCTGCATTAACACCACTTCCGTAAAGAGAAAAAGATGGTCATTGTCATGTGAGACTCTCTTCTGAGAGGAACAGAAGGCCCAGTATTTTAACCTGACCCACTTCTTAGGGAAGTCTACTGCCTCCCTGGGGCCTGGGTTAAAGATGGGAAGAGAAAGCTTCCTATCATGGTATGGCCCTCGGATTTTTAACTCTTACTGCTTTTTCATATAGGCAACAATGAAGTTGCAACAAGAAGTCCAAGGGTGATCACAAGAAATTCCAGAGCCTTGGCATGAGAAGTTAAAGGGTGGGCGAAGTGGGAGGGTGCCACTGTAAGTAAAAGAGGGGTTGGATTGTATGGTGTTTACAGCTGGCATTGACACTGTTAGGGGCCTCTGGCTAAGGACGAAGGGGAAAGAAATTAATGTGGATGTAGTTGTTGCAGTCTATTATAGACCACCCAGTCAGATGTCATTACACCGATGAATTGTTCTACAGGAAGTAAGCGATACCTCTAGAACAACTGCCCTTGTGTTTAAGGTGTGATTTTAATTTCCCAGATATCCACTAGAAATATCATACAGTGAACACAAACAAGTCCAGGAAATTTTTGAAGCACGTTGAAGATAACTCCTTGGTGGCAGGTACTAAGGGAAGGTGCCCTCTTGGATTTGTTGTTTGTAAACAAAGAGGGACTCATGAGCGAATCGGTGAGCAGTGGATGTCTGTGTCACAGTGACCACGAAGCAGCTGAATTTCATATCGTTGGCTGGAGAAAAACTGCCAGTAAAACTTTGACCCTCCATACAGGGAGACCAGACTTTGGGTTGCTGAAGGAGCTAGTTAGTGAGCCCCCCTGGGAATCTGCTTTTGAAGGTACAGGAGTCCATGAATGCTGGTCACTTTTTAAGAGCCATCCTTTAAGAGTGCAGAAGCAGGCAATTCCAAAGTGGTGGAAGCAACCAATGGAAAGCAATTCCAAAGCTGGAAGCAAGCAGGGCAGAAGGATGGCTTGGCTGAGCAGGGATCTTCTCCTAGAACTTCGCCAGAAAAGGAAAGTGTATGGACACTGGAAACAAGGACAGATGACACAGCAGGACCACAGAGATTCTGTTTCACAACTTCAGGGAGAAAATTGTGTGGCCAAAGATCAATTAGAGTTCAAGATGGCCAGCAGTGTGAAGGACAACAAAAAGGGCTTTTTAAAACATGCTAACAGCAAAAGGAGGAGATAACATTGGTTCATTGCTTGATGAGGTATGCAGTTTTGGATGTCTTAATATAAGAAGGACATCAAACTGTTAGTGTGTGCAATGGAGGCTGACCGAGACAGTGAAAGGCCTCAAGCACAAGACATAGGAGGAACAGCTGATGTCACTTGGCTTCTTCAGTTTGGAGACGAGAAGGCTGAGGGTGACCTCACTGCAGTCTACAACTTCCAGGGGGACAGCAGAGAGGGAGGTGATGACAGGACATGAGAAAATAGAATGAAGCTGTGTCAGGCTAAGTTCAGATGGGACATTAGGAAAAGGTTCTTCACTTGAGAGGGTGGTTGGTCACCGGAACAGGTTCCCCAGGGAAGTGGTCACAGCACCAAGCCTGTCTAAGTTCAGGGACTTAATGATCCTGATGGGTCCCTTCCATCTGTTCTATTCTATTCTGTTGCTGTGCAATAGTATAAATGTATCTTTAACAGAAAGAATTATTTTGTAAGGTTGGGTTTGGGGGATTTTTTTTTTTTTTTGCCGAAGGTGTTAGTATTTTAACTTGGATTTTTACTGTAATGGTAATAAATAGTCTATCATATATTTACTATTGCTCTAGAAAGCTTCAAAACATAAACGTTCAGTGAACTGTACATTCAGTGAACAACATTTAAGTTACACTCCTCCATGTTCGTTAAGTAAAGGAATGCACATCAAAAATGCACTACAATATTTAGCATCACTACCATGGAGAGAAAATCTGAAAAAAAAGGAGAGGCTATTTTAATGAAATCATTCACAAAAAGCGTCACTCTCACTTTCAGTATTGTGCTTAAAAGTACTTCAGTCAAGTAACGGTAGCACAACTGGCCATTAGGTGTCATTGTTGCCATTATGCTTAATATTGGTCTCCACAAATTTTCAAGTTAATACCTACTAAAATACATTATTGTATATGATTGCTTCCAGTATGATTTTTGTAAAAGGACTAATATTACTAAGAGTAGAGAACGTCTATATTTCAAGGTCCCTATAATGGTACAACCAACAAACTAGCAGTGTTTTTAACTTTCAATGAGTGTTTTGGATATCTGCTCAGTTAACGACTAAAAGAACAGTCTTTCAGAAGTCAAATACGTGAAGTGAGCCTGAGATTTAGAGGAAGGGGGCAAAGAAGAGGAATTTTAAGTAACCCTATGTTACTTTCTCTACTCACCAATTGTTTGAATAATAGCATTCTGGACAATCCTCTCATCACTCTCCTTGGAGCTTGTGCTGAAAGTGGTACTTCAAAGCCTATCACCCAGCTCAAAGTCAACACTGATGCGCAAGTGCTTCAACAAAGTATTAAAAACTTCCAGAACTGTTGGACCTGGAAACAACATATAAGAATGATTGAACCTGTCAAGGGAAAGATGCCTTCAGAAAAAGAAAACTAAGTTTCAATCCCTTTTCAGGAAAAATCAGATTAAGCTGAAAAGAACAAGTGAAATTCACTGTTTCAGGGATATGGTTTAGCAATAACTCTTCAAGTGTGCCTACACTTTGGTATTTTAGAAATTATTTTGGAACTGGGAAATGCAATCAGGTAATGCACAATCCATTACTACCAAGTTGTACTGGGTCTGGCTGAGTCTGTGTGTTGCTGTGCTTTGGATCTGTGAACGAGATAGCACTGAAAACACATCTGTGTTTTGGCTGCTGCTGCACTGCGCTAAAAAGTGTCAAGGCTTTTTCTTTTCCCCACTCTTGCCCTCTAGAGTAGGCTGGGGCGTGCTAGGAACTGGGAGGAGACACAGACTGGGCCAATCCACCCAAACTGACCAAAAGGCTACACTATATGATACCACGTCACACCCAGCAGTAAAATTTCAAGGGAAGGAGGAGGAAGGCATGTTTGAACATCTGCCTGTCAATGGGAAGTATTGGATAAATTCCCTTGTCTTCCCTGTGCACAGCTTTTGCTTCACCCATTAAATGTCTTCATCTTGATCCATGAGACTTCTAACTTTCTACCTTCTCCCCGGCCTGTGGGAAATGGCAGTGAGCAAAACTGCTGCCTAAAGTCAAGATTTAAGAAAGTTTTATGTAAAAAATAAGTGGTTGCTGAAACATCAACAATGGGTTAAACTGCAGGTACTTGCAGTTTAATTTCAGTTATTTGAAAACCTGCTACTAAAATCCAGTTCTACATACTAGATCAAACAATGAACTCCTCTCATAATATAGTAATAGACCACACAATTCTCAAAGATCATTTCACTCGAGTCCCACATTACTGGTCATCTCGTTGCAGCTGTACAACAAAGCGACTGCGCTCTGCATGTTTTGTACAGTGACTGTCAGACTGTGTGACTTCTCCTCAAACAGGAATTCCTGCCTTTCACAAGGCTGTAAAATACATCTGCTCATTTTTCAAATGCAAAGGATTATAAAAAAGTCAAATGCCCACGTAAGTACGTTTGAGTAATTGCAAACTGAGTAAGATTTCAAGCATGTTATCAGCACAAAGGAGAACGTTATGAATACAAAATCTTCTTAAAACACATGCTTTCATCCAGTCCGAAAATAAAGGAAAAATGAGCACCACCCTTCAAAGCTACCCTATGACCTGATGCCTTTAAGACAACTTACCTATTGATCCTTTAGCTGCTATTGCAACTGCTTCCAAAAGAACCTGAATAATGCCAGCGCGAACTCGAGGTGAGTCCCTTTTGCGAATATCAAGGTGTCCAAGAATTTCTTGTATTACATGATGGGAGTATTGTGCCTATTAAAAAACAAACAAATAATAAGAAAGGCTTCATTTGCAACTTTAATAAGAATAAACTCATGCACCATTCAGCTATAGTCAAAACCGTGTTTCTATTCTGTAAAATTCTTACTCATAAATTTATCTAAGTTTCACTCAACTCATGATTAAATCCAGATTTAAAAAGACCTACAAAAACTACCATGACAGATGAAGACACACAGGTCCATCCAGCCCAGTATATAAAAGTTTAGAGCATTAAAATAGCCCAGAACACCTACAAGCACAGAGGAAGCGTGAAGTGGTACTTCAGTCAGCTATCTGCAGTTCAAGGACTTCAGCCAGTCTTACAAAAAAGCACCACTGATACAAACACCAAGAAAACTCAGTTTTCCTCTAGAAAGCTGGAATTATATTACTTCATCTTTTGCATGTCTGTGCTTGACACAATTCAAGAATTAGACTTTGATCACATTTACAATAGACAATAGAGACCGCCCATTAGTAAAAGTTAATTAGCACGACACAGTTCCACGTGAAGTTGGTTTCTTAGGTAGTAAAAGCAGTACAGTGTACTGGCATGAAGAAATGACCAACTTAGGAGAGACTGGGCACAACATCAGGTCAGTAGGACTATCCTGCTCCTTGTTCAGAAACTTGCTGAGGGACCTCTGCACTACCTTCTACTGAGAATTCCCAAATATCTTTTGTTCTTCTGCAAGTGGACATTAATTAAAAGTAAACCAGGTAACTTCTCTTCACAAACAATGATTAGTTTACCAGCTGAAAAGTTTAAAGAGTAAGGCTAAAGAACAATGGAAAGAAAACTTCTGGATTCTTTGACTTCAAGGGCTGTCTACTACTATCATGGTGAGGTGAGCACTTAATTCTGTCTCACGTGCTTGAAACATGTATGCAAGGAAAATAAATCCTGGAGAAAATCCTACCTGTATAGAATACATGATGATTTTGAAGCAGGAAACAGCAAATTCATTGGGATCCCATAGCCTATGATGGTCTAAATGCCTGTAACCAAAAATTAAGGGGTCTGAAATAATGACATTCCACAGATGTAACAAGTGGCACTTTATAGTTTTCTCAAAATTCACCTCAAAGGAATTATTTCCTTACATAAAGTTTCTAAACAATGGCTTAAGACCTAGATCAGAAAACTAAAACTTCCGAAAAGCATTTGCTTTCAAGATTTAGGATGTGATCACAAAACATTTCTGTTGCAACACAATTTTCCATCTTCTAGTTTCAGGATTTTAAGGAATCTAGTCATACCAAAGGTACACAGATAAGAAATGCACTGTTTCCATACAAAGTGCATACAAAAAAATTGCTGTGACATTATACTCTTATTTACATGAAAGAGACAAAATGAAGAGGAGGGTTATAAAACCATGACAGACTTTTACTCTAAATAAGGTACAGAGCTGGTTTTGAATTGGGAGTTACAGGACAATTAAGGTTGAATGCTATATCCAGAATACATACTCATTTTCACAGTAGTTTCGTGAGTAATATATATGGAAACCAAAAATGAGCTACTCTTTGCGTCTATACTCCTTTATCGCTCTGAAGCATTTCAACACTTCCTTTAAGAAATATCAAAATGAAATCAGAACAGATCCAAGCCAATGCATTCTATGAGTCTATGCATCAGTTTCTCTTCAAATAGGATGGGGACAACCAGTGAAAAATTCTGTCAGAGTTTCAAGCAAAGACAGGAATTTCTGCCTATCCCTGTGCTGAAAGCTATGAATAGCGCACACATCAAATTCTCCAAAAAGGAAATCTGAGCACCTTGAAACTAAGTGCATTTTTAAATCTAGAACGCTGAAAAAAAATTATTTGGGATGTCTTCTTAATTGGAATGATTTAGGTTTAAAAAAAAAAAAAGTAAACCTCATAAACCAACAACCAAAAAAAAAATCCCATAAAATCCCCTAAAAATAAAACAAGTTTTCTACAGAAACTGAATTTAATAAACAAAAAGAATAGGCAGGAATATGTTTAGGGGAAATGCGCATGAAATTACTATATGAAAAGCTGTGATATTGTAAAAGGAAATGGTAGGGAGGTAAAGTATTAATGAGTTTAAGACCTAGTACCAAAATGAAGTAGGAGATTCATCCCTTTATATCCCAAAATGTTCCTTGGTTTTCTTTACTCTGTTGTAGGAAGTAGTGTCACTACCAGACCCGGGCTGGGATAAAAGCCCAAACAATGGGATGCAAGGATGAGAGAGGGACTGTGAGAAAGAGTTGGTGGCATGATGAAACACAGAATCATAGAATTGCCTGGACTGGAAAAGAGCTTTAAGATCATCAAGTCCAATCATTAACCTAACGAATTTAAGTAGTGTTTTTAAATAAGTATCCCAGCTACAGAATCACTTTGGTCTGCCCTTGCTCAAAGAATGTGATAAGCATCTACAGACGGTTCAAATAATAAACCTGAAAGCACAGAGGGGAAAGGGGGCAGGACACTCTGAACACCAGAGGACTGACTGAATGCTTTAACCTCCTTTGTCTAGGATCTGGAGGTCTCAGTTAACTCCCCGGCCAGCTGCTGCCAGCCTAGTGACCCAGCTGAGTACACAGGTCTCCTTCAAGGCTCATTAAACCAGCTGGCACAAAAGTACCCTCCCCTGTGCCCTGAACTACCTTGCAGTCCATTGCAGAGCTAAGAAAATGTACTGCAATTTTGACACATGACACACCTATAACAGAAATCTGTTTCAGGAATTTTAAAGGCGTAAATTTGTCTGCCAAGATAACAGCGTATTTGCATTAGTAAGTATTAAACTGGACTACCTGTTGGGGACAGCTGCCTTTCTTGAGCGAATTTCAAACATGCAGCTATATTTAATCCTGCCTTGGGGTAGAAAGACAAGCAAAATAACCTCTTTAAATCCTTGAAGGCTTAGCAGCTCGTAACATATTTATTCATGTCATCTTTCTCTGATATTATGCCAGCTGAGTCCATCATTTCTTGCACATGATAGCTATTTACACCACAGCTAATCTATCTTCTTTTTGTCCCCAAAAATACAAAGTTATACTCCCTGCTATCTTCTCCTGGTTGGAACCGATCCTTTAATGTTTCAGACTAGCATGCGTTCTTTGTTACATTTCGACAGTTCCTCTTCAACTGCCCCAGAGATTCATTCAGGCAGATTACAGTCAACTACATTTTATATTGAGGTTTTTTTAAAAAAAAGCTTTCCTCTCAAAAAAGACAGTTTTATTTTTCCAGAAGGGCCAAGTATTAGCTTTTCAGATAGCTGAAATGATGGGAAGACAGCAGGGGGAAAAATGACATCCCAGGTTAATGTTTTGTGCAATAGCTCAATGGGCAGCATACTTCGTATACTGAAATTTTCCTAAGAAAAAGAACATTAGATTACCATAGATGATATATTTCATTTGTCATAGTGCAGGCAGTGTATCCAATGTAGTTTTGTTATTTGTAAAAGATGGTAAATGGTATTTTCAGCATGGTGCATTTAGTTTAGGTAAAATCAAGTCACACTCTTATCCTTTTCTCAATTACTTTTTGTTTAATTAAAAAATATTTAAGTAAGACTGCAAAATATTTTATTGCTGGATTAACAAATGCCAACCTCGGTCTTCCATTAATATCTGCTGCATATATACAGCCAATGTGCACCAGTAGGTTTCTCAAATTAAAGGAAGCAGCAGAACCAATGGTACAAATTACTAATTTATGGAGTAAGAGACATTAATGGTCCCTGCATTCACTCATATTATCACGTATGTAAGCAATCCTTACAGTACAAAATGATACACTGATACCAACGTTTAGAAAGCAGAACTGAGGAATGTATGGAAATACACCAAATAATCTTCTTGCACATCATGTTTGCTGAAAGAATATTAAATGACAGACTTCTGATACTCAAACTCCTTGCACAGATCATGTGATAACTCACATGAATGGAAATACAGTGAGATGAACTGGGTTTAACTTGTTATACTTGGGAAGTTTTTTATATTTGCTAGATTTCTAATTTATTCATCACTGCAAATTTATGCTAAGTAAACCTAAACAGCTTCTAACTGTTGATGCAATTTTTTTTCATATCAAATTGATATAATTCTTTTATTTTCATTATGCAGTTTGCCAGATTGATCTGTCAGGTTTCATTAAAAATGAGAATTTAAGAGTTTCTAGCTAATACATGCAGACATGTAAAACCACAGAGATTTTCTGCCAAATGCAAGGAAAATTAAGGTCAACCCAAATCCATACCAGGAGGCCAAATTCAGATTTCAACGATCTTCATTATATTTAAATCCCTGAATCTCTGAATGTACTCAGCCTCAGCAAGAAGCACTATTCTCTTGGTTCTGCAGGGAAGCGATGGCATGGTGCCTGATATTCCAAAGCCACGTGAAGCAAGCCTTCAAGTGGGGAACTGAACCTGCATCTTCAGCACTAGCATGCAATAGGCAGCCTTATCTTTGTTTCCAGAGCTTTCTTAAAACCCGTGAAATTGTTGAACATTGTTAGGAAAAATTGTTTTCTAATCAAGTATAGATAAACTAAGTCAGGTTTTTCAATCAAAGTCACCTTTTTTTTAGGAAAAACAGCTTGGACATCACGTATTCTGTATCTCTTCTTCTTCGAAAATATTAAAGCTTTACAACAGTTATTTATAAAAAGATACATTTATTTGGCAAGTCTTCCTCAAAATGAAACACAAAAATGGTGACACAAAAATGGTCATGTAAGAGATAACATATTTTGAGTGACTGTTCTTTATCTACTCATTTCAGCACACAAATGTATCATGTGGCACGTAGAGATGCACAAAGAATCAAGCAGTTCCTTAGGATTATAGTGAGTAAGAAAAGAACAAACTAGAAACAACACTTTGAGTACATAAAGCCTTGGATTTGCCTCAGGCAATGCAGGTGGGACACCTTCTCAAATCCCAAATCAAGCACTAACTCTAGTCTAGGGAACCGGGAATTATTTGTGGGAAACTTCCCTGATGCTGAAATGACTGAAAAGACTGAACGAACTGCACATGCTGATAAAGTTTTAGGATAAGCCCATAAAAGTAACTTGAAAGTAATAAACAGCTGCAGTAAGGTTCCAAAAAGCCCACCCAGACTGTTTAGTATCTAAACGCTCTCTCTAGTGGCATGCATTTTGAAAGAAAGCAAATTTTAAATTTAGGATAAAATTAAAATCTTTTTAACAAAATCCTCAACTTTGTAACAATTAAAACCCCCTAACAGACTGTTATAATAAGAAAGCAGGATAATACCATAGTTCTTTGCATTTAATGCTTCTGGGTGAAAAACAAAGGGCTACTAAAGTTTTCTCCTCTCCATACCTACCCTGCCTTCTTTTCGCATTTCTGTTTTTACTTAACAGTAGTAACTTGAAAACGGCTTTCGGTAACTTGAAAGTTCTTCACTGTGTGAATGGAATATTTAGTATTTGTGGGAAAAACTAAGTCATCTAAGAGAAGATATTCCCATAACAGGTGAGTATCTTGAAAATCTACACCAAGGAGAAAGCAGCTTATCACCAGGAAAAGCCAAGGTTTTAAAGTAGTATCACTGAGTTTAGAGCTTCCTGCAAAGATTTCTCCTCAGAATGTGGAAGTGAAAGAAGCAGATTTAAGTAATCTCAGTGCCTGTAGGTGTTTTCACATTGTATTTTTCAAGGTAACAACTGAGGCAACGCACAGAACTGAAAAATGATGGATTTCATAGTTAATACATCAGCTGAAATTTGCTCTGTGTGCCTTTGTGCATAATGTGTGTACTGTGTGCACATCTGCAATCCACTAATAAATGAGCTGCTAAATACATTTCTCACAGAATATCAAAATAGGTCTTGGAAGAAAATGGCAAGAAAGTAGAAATCTTAACATTATGTGTTCATCTGGGCACAGCACTCTTTCGTGTTACTTGTATTTCACTTGGCTTGTCTCTTCACTGACTACAACAGTTATCTATAGGACATTAATATCTGGAATAAACAGTTTCACAGTCAAAAGAAAGGCCAGCTCAGGTAACAACCCATCCAAGTCGTTATGTTGAACTTCTAAAATCAGTAAAATGGGACACACATTTCACAACTATCTTCAAGTTAACATATAGGGAACAAAGAGGTGAGATTAAAAGAGGGTCAATTTCTTAAAGAAACATGAATGGAATTCCTCAGGTTGCAAAGGAGGAAGGAATTTAATGTGACGTAATTAGAGGATGAAATACAACAGAAAAATCTCTTAAGAGAAGACCTTCTATGAATTTTCAACTTACGCAAAAACTGGTCTGACTGCATTATTCATATTTCCATAAGTTGCTCGTCCTAGTAATTCCCTGAAACAGTTTTCGGCCAGCAGAGCAGGATTTTCTTCCTTCTCTCCTCCTGCAGGAGAGGATGGAGGGCCTATTCTGCTGAAATAAGACAAAATTACATTTATTTTACTACTGATTAATATTCATGTTCTTCACTGTACCCTTACCTGTGGTTCTACAACGTTCATGAGTCACTCTCTTGATCTAGGTAAGAATCATATCTCACATATGCGTCAAACCAGAAACCTGAATAAAACATTTTATTATCTTATAGCAGGACTATACGTCATCCTCTGTTCATTCAATAGTGACCACTGTATTAGCAAATATTTATAAGGTAAAAAAATGGCTGTTAGTATCAGTTAGTATAGTTTAACTGCATTTTGACAAAAGACTACTCATTGCTAACAATGAAGGCTGTGAAACCATGCGAAAACTGAGGCAGAACCTTAGTCATTTTGTTCAGACTAATGATCTCAGTCATCTGCCCCCTGCTGAATCCACACTGTGTGGGTGAGTGTAAAATAAAACTCCAATATTTCTGTGGAAACAGATGGCTTGTCAGTTGGGGAAAAAAAAAGTCTGATTGAACTAATTGGAACATTATCACCCACATAGTTACCTCTAACTAGCTAGTGTACAGGTTAGTCACCTTCTAACCCACTGTCTCCCAACAATATTATGGAGAGGATTCTACTGAGAGGATTTGACACGGTGTCTGTGCCCAGGTGCTGGCAGTGGGGCTGCCTGTCCATATCCATCTGGTGGCAACTGCAGGTTTGGGAAAGGTCCAAAGGCCTCGGGGAGGGCCCCAGGCACAGTGGAGGGATATTTCCTGCAGGAATTGCGGCTGCGGAGAGCCCAGGTGGAGCAGGTTGTCCCTGAAGGATGGCAGTCCAGGGAAGTGGCGACACTGGAGCAGGGAGATGGGGCAGGAGGGAGGAACAACCAGGAGAGAGGGGCTGGGGCGGGCTGTGCCTCTCAGAGGGAGAGGAGGAGGGAAGGGGTGAAGGAAGAAGCTGGGAATGGAGGAAGGTTGGGAGAGGTGTTTTTGTCTATGCTTCTCACTACTCACATCTATTTTTGGCAACTGGCAATATGTTAAATTAATTTTCCTCCAGCTGAGTCTGCTTTGCCTGTACAGTAACTGGTGAGTGATGTCCCCACCTTCATCTCAGTTCATGAGCTGCTTCATCCTATTTTCTCCTTTGTCCTGCAGGGTGGCAGAGGCACAGTGAAAAAAATCACAGAACAGTTTTGGTTGGAAAAGACCTTCAAGATCATTGAGTCCAACCTTTGTCCTAGCCCTATCACCACCACTAAACCAAGTCCGTAAGCACAACATGTACCTGTCTCTTAATCACCAGGTGGGAGTCTGGCATTTAGCCAGTGCTAATCCACTGCAAGGAATGAAAATGTAAACATAATATCTATTATAATGTCTGCATTAGTACATACAAACCTCTGATTTTTTTACCTTATTAAAATATCACTGTCTGTCAAGTTGTTTTTTGCCATGGAGTACCCTTCACCTCCCTGATACCACTAGACAACTGGATACCCATATTTTTCACGTTTTATTACTACTAACTTTGAGGTTACAAAAACCCCAAACAACACCTTTCACATTTGGAAATATATGATGTTAATTTCCCCATACTACATTTATAAAGGTGGCCCTTGCTGGAGGATTTTTCTTTCCCACTTTCCCTAAAAGCATTCCTCTGAAAAAGAAACATAGCAACTGATGTCTTCAGTCAGAAGATAGTAACAACAAAACAATACAGCCTGTCAAAATCTGCATCAGATAAATACAATGTGAGAAGTGTTAAACTGCCTAAGTTTTACTGAGAAATTTGTCCTTAAACAAGAAGATTGCAGTTATTTCAATCATAGAAATGTACTACTGATAGGAAAACTTCTCTTTTCCAGGCTCAACAACCCCAGCTTTCAGCCTTTCCTCAAACAAGAGATGTTCCATCCCTCCGATCACTTCTGTGGCCCTCCCATGGACTTGCTCCAACAGGTCCATGTCTTTTTCTGTGCTGAGTGTGAATCTACCCTCTTTTAGTTTGAAACCATTCCCCTCTGTCCTGTTGACACAGACACCAAATATAAGTTTGTCCCCATCTTTCTTATAAGCCCTCGTACGGCCATAATAAGTTCGGGAAATGGACACAGCATGGCAGGTGGGGTCTCACTGGAGCAGAGCAGACGGGCAGAGTGACCTCCCTTGACCTGAAGCCACACTGCTTTTGACGTAGTCCTGGACACGGTTGGCCTTCTGGGCTGCAAACGCACACGTTGGCTCATGTCCAGCTTTTCCCTCACCAGTATCCTCAAGTCCTTCTTCGTGGGGCTGCCCTCAATCCCTTCACCCCCCAGCCTGTATTGGTACCCGGGATTATGCTGACCGAGGTGCAGGACCTTGCACTGGGCCCTGTTAAGCCTCATGGGGTCCACAAGGGCACACTTCTCAAGCTGGTCCAGGTCCCTCTGAACGGTACCCCAGCCCCCAGGCATGTCACCCACACCGCTCAGCTTGGTGCCACCTGCAAATCCGCTGAGGGTGCACTCAATCCTGCTGCCAAAAATATTAAACAATAGCTTGGTCCCAATACAGAGCAGAGGGACACCGCTCATCACTGATCTCCATGTGGACACTGAGCCGTTGATCACTAGTCTATGGATGCAAACACCCAGTCAATTCCTTACACACTGAATAGTGCATCCATCAAATCCATCTCTTTCCAATTTAGAGACAAAGATGTTGTGGCGACCCGTGACATCCCTCTCCATTCACAAACAGCAAGTCCAGGAGGGCATCTTTCCAGTTGGCTCACTGAGTACTTGTGACAAGAAGTTAATTTTCACAAATTTCAAGTATTTCCCTGACCTGCTTGTCATAGTAGTATGATACTCCCAGCTTGATGTCTAGGAAGTTGAAATTTGCCAAAACAACAAGGGTTACTCATCCAGAGGTTTCTCCTAATTCCCTAGAGAACAAGTCCTCAGCGCTAGCATCCTGGATGGGTGATCATTAGCAGACGCTCACTACTACATCTCCTTTGTTTTCCCTCCCCCTAATCCTCATCCAGAAGTTCTGAACCACATCTTCACTAACTGTGAGGGCTTTACAACCAAACCTCTCCCTTACGTACAGGGCAACACCTCCACCTCACCTCCTCTTGCCTACACCCCTCCTGAAGAGCCTGTAACCCTCCAGCCCATCACTCCACTCGTGGGACTCCTTCCACCGAGTCTCACTGACACCAGCAGCTCTGGGAACTGACCAAGGCTTCCAGCAGAAGGCATCTGCAACCACAGGCCCCGATATTCCCCCCTTAATCCCTTCCCATGAGGCACTGGAGAGGCTGCTGGGGGTGGGGTGGAACACTGGGAGCCCCAACATTCCCTCCCGGGACACCCCCCAAACAGGCCAGAGCCCAGGCCTGAG